TGGTGTACAGTAGGCATTGCTTTAAAAAGCCTGAATTGTCGTGGTGACTAAATATTTACCAGTTAGAAGATTTCAATTTAAACTTTTTTTTTCTGTTTTTGTTAGACCACAAGGCATACACACTGCACCAAATAAACATGCTGAACCTGAAGGATGAGTGCTGATGTGTTTTTGGTCTAGTAATCAATTTTTTATAAATGAAGTCATTTATTTTCTAGCAAGCAAATATAACAATATAATGAATTTACTGTTCACAAATTAATCACAGTGAAAAAGTTTGAGTGAATTAGGTTAATTTATTAAGCAAAGGACATAGCATCTATAATCACAATAAAAAGCTGAACAAAAAGCAAATTATCACTGCATGCCACTTTGGAAACAATTGACTGCAAACAGATGGTACACTGAGATATATTTGTATATTCACTCCATTAAAATGCCAACTATGTGGTCACTGAGCCTTACAATTCTGATTTATAAGAGCTTACATTGACAGTTTTACACAACAAAGTAAATTGCTGAAATACTGAGCATTATATCAACCCAATTTTAAATTTTTTGTATAGAACTTAGAAACCTGTTTGTTCAATGTTTAATTTGTGCCCTGAACCAAAGTTTAATCCAGTGGTGTCTTTTGAAGAATGTGTAAATTTTAAAGGACAACAGAATTTGTAATGTTATGTTTACATATTTCCTATTTCTTTACATACAACCACAGCTTAGTACATATAGACCCGATGAATATGTGCATGCATATTTTCATGCATGTGTTCACCGCAGTATAGTCTAAAACAGCTTGCAAAAGCTGTGGCCTGTCTAAGCCCATCCGCTTTTCTCTGGAATGGACTTCTCGTAGAACTGTCCAATCTAAGGCTTTTCATTGAGAAGCCTCTGTTTTTATTCAGTCTCTTTGCGCTACCCTAAGTCACTACGTGTTCGTGAGGATTTTTTTCAATTGACGCTATTATTCTTAAGTGTGAGAATATTTTATACTCCGCACTTTTGCGCACTCTTTCTTTAGTTCGGGCGATTTTTCTTCAAGTGGAATGGAGAACATTGTGTAAAATACTATGCACAGCTCTCCTAAATGCTGCCAGCAGAAATGTATGCACTAGAAGAAAAAAAAATTATAATGACATCAGCACGGAGGGGAAGAACCAGAATTCTTTTCGGAGAATTTTGAAAGGCAGGCATGCTGTAGCAGAACGCCCCTTCTACGGAAATATGAAGTCAATCTCTCCGGCTGTTGGATTGGCAGTTAGGGAGGCATTTCTATTTTGTTTTATTATAACAGCTCTATTTTCACAACAAAATAGGTACTTTTAAAAAATGGGACCAGTAAATGGATGGCCATATTGCAATTCAGCAATCTGAAGTCCTCTTTTGGTGTGGAGTGTTCCTTTAAGTTTTACAGTCCTGTTGTGCCTACCACACATTACACTAGTATTTAGTTAAGGAATGCATATGGATGATATTCATTTATTTTGATATAATAATGACTAATTCAAAAAGAAGAGCTAGTGTCACTGGGTAGTACTTTTGGCATAACCTGAACAAAAAACATGCAATTCTAAAGTAAATTGCTGAATCGTCTCCATACGGAATAAGTTATACCCTCAATCCAAAGATCAGGATACAAAATCTTTATTCCAAAGAAAACAACATGTGCCTTGAACATAAAGGGGGGAGCAAAAGGACTACCAATGGTGTGTTGGTATGTTTTCTCAGTAAAGAGGATTTAAACAAGAGAGCAAAAATGCAAAATAAAATTTTAAGAATAATTAAAGGAACACTCCAACAGAAAACGTAGTCTGTGATTACACATATCTCTGTGAAAGCACTATTATGCTGTACAAGTCATACTGATGGAGGTTGCATGGATGTATGATAAGATAAGTCTGTGCAATTCAGATTCATTTGTCAAATCCATACATTGCATGCATCAAAATCGTTCACACACAGACCTATGAGTTTTGTGTGCAAAAAATGGCCATTCATTTGTTCTTGTTCCCCAGCCCAAAAGTTGCCTGCCTTCCCAGGAACTCCATAAAAAACCCAAAACATAATTGTGTTTGTTATCTTCACCAAATATCCCTTTTACCAAAACATTTGAATAGTGATGCACCGAACAGTTCGATCCGCCCCCTATTCGTCATCATTGAGTAAACTTTGGCCCTGTACCTCTCAGTCAGCAGACACATTCCAGCCAATTAGCAGCACACCCTCCCTAGCAGACCCTCCCACCTACTGGACAGCATCCATTTTAGATTCATTCTCAAGCTGCATGCTTAGTGAGAGGAGGAAAAGTGTAGCTGCTGTTGATTAGATAGGGAAATGCATAGCTAGGTTAGGGTATACAGTGTCCACTACAGTCCTGAAGGACTCATCTGATCTCTGCTGTAAGGACAGCACCCCAAAAAGCCCTTTTTAGGGCTAGAACATCAGTCTGCTTTTTTTTTTCTGTGTAATGTAATTGCAGTTAGTTGTCTGCCACTGCTGCCAGCTTCTGTGTCAGGCTCACAGTGGATACTGTGCCCATTTGCCAGTCAGTGCCACCACTCATATCACTGGTGTCACAATAGCTTGCATTTAAAAACAAAAAACTTTTTTCACTGTTATAGATTGAATAGCAGTCAGTTGTCTCAAAGCGGGTGTGTCAGGCTCACAGTGGATACTGTGCCCAGTGCCACCACTCACAGGTGTCACAATAGCTTGCATTTAAAAACAAAAAACTTTTTTTCACAGTTATAGATTGAATATAAAAGTGGCCTCTTTGAGAGAAATATTTCCCACAATCAGAACAAAAATAAGGTTTCTCTCCTGTATGGCTCCTCAAATGATGCTTAAGATTAAAAGCGGCTGAAAAGCATTTCTCACACTCAGAACAAAAATATTTTTTTTTAACATTCTCTCCACTTTGAACGAAATGACGTTTGGGAAGAGATTTTGTATGAGTAGGTTTTTCATGTACGATACGGGAACATGATTTAGATCCTTGGTAAGTTTTGCGAGATCCAATAGTGTGTATGTAGGGGGAACAGTCAATCCATATCTGCCAAGTGACCCTATGTAGGAGGAACAGTCTCTATTCTGTTCTGTGTCAGTGTGTATCATGGTCTCTGAGGACAGGTGTCAATCCATATCTGCCAAGTGACCCTATGTAGGAGGAACAGTCCTATTCTGCTCTGTGTCAGTGTGTATCAGGGACCCTTAGGACAGGTGTCAATCCATATCTGCCAAGTGTAGGGGGAACAGTCCCTATTCTGCTCTGTGTCAGGAGGAGGAATGGGAAATGAGTAGCTCGGCATCCAACCTTGTGCAAATGAGGTCTTTCATGCTGTCGTACCTGTTGAGGGACCCTCGTATAAAAAGGCTGAAGGAGAACGACCTGTGCTGGGTGTCCAAGCTACTAGACCCCCGGTATAAGCAGACAGTGGCGGAAATGTGACCGAATTACAAGTCGGAAAGGATGCAGCATTTGCAAAATAAATTAAAAAGTATGATTTACACAGCGTATAAGGGTGATGTCACAGCACAACGGGAATCTAACAGGGGAAGAGGTGAAAGTCAAGTGACCCTATGTAGGGGTAACAGTCCCTATTCTGCTCTGTGTCAGTGTGTATCAGGGGCTCTGAGGACAGGTGTCAATCCATATCTGCCAAATGACCCTATGTATGAGGAACAGTACCTATTCTGCTCTGTGTCAGTGTGTATCAGGGATCCCTAGGACAGGTGTCAATCCATATCTGCCAAGTGACCCGATGTAGGGGGAACAGTCTCTATTCTGCTCTGTGTCAGTGTGTATCATGGTCTCTGAGGACAGGTGTCAATCCATATCTGCCAAGTGACCCTATGTAGGGGAACAGTCCCTATTCTGCTCTGTGTCAGTGTGTATCAGGGATCCTTGGGACAGGTGTCAATCCATATCTGCCAAGTGACCCTATGTAGGGGGAACAGTCTCTATTCTGCTCTGTGTCAGTGTGTATCATGGCTCTGAGGACAGGTGTCAATCCATATCTGCCAAGTGACCCTATGTAGGGGGAACAGTCTCTATTCTGCTCTGTGTCAGTGTGTATCATGGTCTCTGAGGACAGGTGTCAATCCATATCTGCCAAGTGACCCTATGTAGGAGGAACAGTCTCTATTCTGCTCTGTGTCAGTGTGTATCAGGGGCTTAGGACAGGTGTCAATCCATATCTGCCAAGTGACCCTATGTAGGGGAACAGTCCTATTCTGCTCTGTGTCAGTGTGTATCAGGGATCCTTAGGACAGGTGTCAATCCATATCTGCCAAGTGACCCTATGTAGGGGGACCAGTCTCTATTCTGCTCTGTGTCCGTGTGCATCAGGGGCTCTGAGGACAGGTGTCAATCCATATGTCAAGGTGTCAATATGTCATATGTCAGGTGTCAATCCATATTCATTGTGATTTAGGAATGTTAGGTGATTTCTGCCCTTTATGGATTAAAACCAGACTCTGTATCAACTGTGTAATTTTCCATGGGAGTTTTGCCATGGATCCCCCTCCGGCATGCCACAGTCCAGGTGTTAGTCCCCTTGAAACAACTTTTCCATCCCTATTGTGGCCAGAAAGAGTCCCTGTGTGTTTTAAAATTCGCCTGCCCATTGAAGTCTATGGCGGTTCACCCGGTTCGCCGTTCGCGAACCGAAAATTTCGTGTTCGCAACATCACTACATTTGAAATCTGTACTTGAGATCTGAAAATGAAGAAGGGAATATTGTACATATTCTCTTTATGTTGTACCACATATGGAAAAAGAGAAATACGTATGATACCAAAGTAGTATTCACCACAGTCTCCTTATTTTACCTTTCTTTTAGAGAACTCCGTTTCAGGGTTTAATAAAAAGTAAAATAATTGGCAGACAAGGTTTTAATTTTTTGGTTTCAGATTTCTAAGTTATTTGCAAATCAGTTCTTCCAGGTCTTTTTTTCTATTAACCAACTAATTACACTTCTGTGTTTTCCCTAGGTCTTGAGATGTCATGGGTGCATAGGCCTCCTGAGAAAGCATTCAGTGGGGAAACATTTGATGTCACCTACTCAGTTTCTGCATCCGATGAGTTTTATCAATTTGCAGTCCGAAATAGGATCCTTTCTCAGAGGTAAACCAAATGCATTCCTAACTATGTGATTGTATGTTCCAAAGGGCATTAAGATGCTTTCTTGAACACTCATCTGTGTATTCAAGCTTTTTTTTTTTCTTCAAATGATGGGTAAAATCAAAGGCTTGACCATTGCAACAGATTACTATTTTGCTTTTTTAACCCCTTAAGGACAAAACTTCTGGAATAAAAGGGAATCATGACATGTCACACATGTCATGTGTCTAAGGGGTTAAAGAAAATCCTGACAATCCTTGCTAATTGGACATTTTTTGGAGTTTAACAACTTATAGGTTATTCACAGTACCTGTGTCTCATTATTTATTTTAGTTTATATATATATATATATATATATATATATATATATACTTTATATATTGTAGCATGTACTCACCTCCCTCGAGCTGCGCAGCCCTCCTCCTGCCGCGCGGCCCGACCGCTGCATATAGAGTGTAGGTGTGATGTCACGCCCATTCTTAAAGTGACCATGTCATCATTGCGATCCCAATCAATTTTGAGCTGCAATGATAAACTGGAAAAATAAGAAAACAGGTAGACCTACTTAAGGCTTGCTTTAGCCTCTATTCTTTGCCCTATCGTGGTTTCTTGTTAGATCCTCATTTAGTGCTCCTAGAGATTCCCTTGTGATTTCCTGTGTTTGACTTTGGTTTCGTAATTGACTCATGATTTTCTAGTATACTGACCCGGCTTCGTATTTGACTCATGATTTTCTGGTATCCTGACCCAGCTTTGTATATACTCTGTGTTTTTCTGTATTCCTGACCTTGACTTATTCTTGACCTTATTTCTTGCTATATTCATTGGTTAAGTCCAGCCATTCAAAGGCTCGGTAAAATTCGGATCAAACTTTTGTGGGTTTCCTCTTTCCTGTGTGTTCTGGTACGACTCCAGTGAAATATATATACTTGAACATTTTTGCTTCTCTAAGCATGCATTCCATAAGTAAAACAAACAAAATGAATACTGAGTAGTTAGCAGACCTATTGTATTAAGAAAATTAAAGGAATAATCTCTTTATTTCTGTGATTAAGTGATGCTGCATCAGCTAAAAGGTTTTGTGAGCTGCAGGAGTGTCCATCCACCTGGAAGGATGCAAATGAAGAGAATTGTTGTGTGCACCATGCAAATATCCACTCCTGCCCACTGCCCTTCATGGTAAGTCTGATTTTCAGAAAGTTATCAGAGTTTAGGGATGATCTTATGTATATTTGGGGTCATGTGTGCCTATAGCTGAAAAATTATGCTTATGTTTGCTCATCCCCATGTTTAAAGTGCATCTGTCATACTCCAAACAATTTATGCTTTCTAGAATGAGCATACAATTTTATATATATACATTGTGCTAGCAAATGTATAGATTAGGAGAAAAATCTATTTAAAAAGAGTTTTTTTCTCCCAGCTATCAATTAATAAGAGGCATTGACTGACAAGAGGGAGCAGAAAACACCTCCCACAGGAGGTCCCTCTGCTCTTCACCAATAGCAACACCAGCTTATCCCCTTAAGTACACAACTTCTGGAATAAAAGGGAATCAAGACAGAATATTTCCGTCATGTGTCCTTAAGGGGTTATGCACTGTGGCTGCTATGGCTACTCCCTAGTCAGCACTTCTAGCACCGCCTACGATGTACAGGAACAGAGTAATGTGACGTCACTCCATTCAGATCCCAGCGCACTGGCAACGAAGCGAGTGTGTCGACATCACTGATGAGCTTTGCCCTGCTTGGTGATGCATCCCAAACAGGGCAAATCAAAGAATACTTAAGGAAGAACTTAACTGGAGCAGAGGGTGGTCATGAAGTTTAATAACTTACAGCGCCACAAAGCGGCGCTGTAACGGAGGAAAAATGAGTAAATCTTTATATCTTACATTGAATACACCATGTATCTTTATGATATATGGTTTATTCAATGTATATGATAGTGATTACTGGTACGTAGCAGGTTCACTTTAAGAAAATATTTGTTTGAAAAATAAAAAATCTAGAAATCCACACAGTTTATCCTGCAACAAGATACGTTCAATTTAGCTAACTGTCAATCATTGTTATAAGCTCTTTCTCTCTCACTTGGCGGTCAACATAGTGAAAGCATACAGAGAAGAGGAAAGAATAAACAGTGTTTCTATTTCTCCTCTTCATCTGCAATGTCTAAATTGGATTATGATGTCATATGTGAAATCTGTAATACATAAATTAAAAGAAAACAAGGCAACTACAAGATTAACACAAGTTATAGGTGATTTCCAATTATTTATTCAGTGGTATAAATTCAAGAGAAATAACAGTTTCCATTTAAATCTTACAGAAATCGTGGAAAAGTTAAAAAATAAATATTATACAAAGCTGACTGACTTGCATGTGATAAAACTTATATTGTTTTTAGTTTTCATCAAGAAGTTGCTGCGCTATATTGTTTATGAGCAATATCTAGCAAAATGACCATATTATGCTTTAATCACTTGCTGTTTAAACAGCTCTTATGTGTTATGTTAAAGGGACACTATAGTCACCAGTGCAGCTACATGTATTCCTGATTCTATAGTGTTAACACGACCATCTAGTCCCCCTGGGCCCCCCATGCCTCCATAAATATAGTAAAAATCTTACTGTATTCAAGCCAGAAGCTGTAAATCTGCATGCTGTTAGACTCAGGAAAAACAAGCAGTCTGCTGACATGTGATAGCTTGATCCAATCACAGTGCTTCCCCATAGGATTGGCTGAGACTGACAAAGAGGCAGATCGGGGCAGAGCCAGTATGATTCAAACACAGCCCTGGCCAATCAGCATCTCCTCATAGAGATGAATTGAATCAATGAATCTCTTTGAGGAAAGTTCAGTGTCTGCATGCAGTGGGAGGAGATACTGAATCACAGGATGCACAGCAGATCAGAGTGGATGGAGGCATATTATGCCTCCATCAACTCAGAAGTCCCTCTGGTTTACTCTGAGTGACTGCAACTGGAGGTGTTCCTAGCTTTCAATGTAAACACTGTTTTTTTCTCAGAAAATAGTTCTTACCTGAACAACCTCATTAAGCTGAAGTTGTTCAAGTGACTATAGTGTCCCTTTAACACATGTATGTGATACATTTAAAGCAAATTATATAATAATAGCCTATTTCTAAAATATTATATTTTTATATTATTCCTAAAAAAAAAAATTGGTACCTATCAAAAAAATATCTTACAGGGTCATTTTTTTTTTTTAAAAGTGAGCCTTCAAAGTGAATTTAAAGTGAATTTAAAATTTCAGGTCAAAATAGCCAAAATGGAAAAATTCTATAAGGTCAGCTATACCTTCTGTTCAGCTACTTTGAATTCTCACTTTGGTTAAGAAATGTCTTAAACAATTCAATTGGGCTTTTATTTGATTTAAACACTTTGTAGAAAGATAAACAAGTCTAAACTGTTTTAAGTGTAAGTTGTTGGACACTTAGCACCTCTCCCATGATTCATGTCATTATGCAGACTAGATGGGGGTCACAACTCATGCCCCAAACAATACAGAGAAATGTAAGCAATAAACACAAACTGACATAAGTCAAGTGTTTTATTACACTATTAAAAGTGGTGGGGGCATTAATGTTATCTGGCATTTATCAACTTATATACGATATTATTAAATCAGATGTTCTAAATATTTCATGAGGTGTACTTAATTTATAGATCAGGACTCTTGAGGAAAAAAATGCGTTTTTAAAGTTGTTAAGCAATGTTTATTAAAGAATATATCATTACATTAAAATGTTTGGTGTTAAGATTACATTTGGAAAAGTCAGAAAGTTATATAAAATTTAAATACAAATGTGTAATCTAATTAACTTAAATCATAGTGCAATAACAATATTTTAATGGGTTACTTGATCGCTGAGATACAATCATTTATGTTTGTGCAATGAAGAGTAAAGGAGGAATATGTGGCCCTTGGATCCCAGATGATGGTCAGATTTTCACTCACACCATATCTACTTCTGGGAAGATGACCCAAGGGAACTGGAGTGCAAAGGTAAGTTTGGTCACTTTCTTGCTGATTAACTTTATAAACTCTTATTGTTTGTCCCAAATTTGTAGCTCCTTTGGAGACAGAGCATCCCCTGATGGTCTGGTGGTAGTGTAGAGGCTCTCAGCCTTCACCTCTGTCAGGGGTCTGGTTGGGAAGGGGTGCTGACCAGTACAGTATCCTCTATAGGGTGGAACCCAGAATGCAAAAAAAAAAAAATATACACACAAATCACACACAGGTATTGATATTGACAAGGAAGATAGTAAAATAAAATAAAATGCGAGGACACATGGAGACAGCCAGCTCAGGTACACAGGGAGACAGCCAGCTCACGAACACAAGGAGGCTGGGAATAGAGAGAGATCTCAAGCTGGGTGCAGCAGCCTGCAATAGCACCACAGACAGGTAGTGGCACTGTGAGGTATTGCACCAGACTATGAATAAACCGAATTATGACAACCTCCAGCAGGTTGTCCTCTCATTCTTGTGACATCCCGCTTTCAGAACACATGGCAATGCTCAAATACTACATGGTGATGCAGCTCACAAGGAGAGCTTTCACCCAGCAGAGATAAAGGCTGAACGCCTACACACTACAACTGGACCATCACGAAATGCTCATCCACCACCAGGGCTGTCTTTAATGTGGGGCAAACAAGGCAGTTACTCCAGGGGGGCCCAAAGCAGCTGCCCAGGAGGGGGCCCGACGGCTTGCTCCATATGCCGCCGGGTGAGATGCATCTGTATTAATTGTATATATCTATGTATCTGCAAGTGTTTCAGTGTGTGTGTGTGTATGTGTGTGTTTGTGACAGTGCGTGTGTATATGTGCATACATCTCAGCATTCAAATGCCAACACTACACACACATATACACACCTACATTTAAACTTCAACACTACATACAAACACACCTCTTTGTTAAACACCAAAATTATAAATAAACACACCTGTAAACACACCTGTGCAAAAACCAACACTACACATAAATGCATGCTTGCATTCAAATGCCATCTCCACATACACATACACACCCCTACATTCACACAAACATACTCCATACAAAAACACGCTTACATTCAAACACACAAACACTGCTCAGTGCTAAATACAACCCTGCACGCATGGGAAAATGGTAGAGCCCCAGCTGTCAAAGCATTGTTGGAGTTGCACGACAGATGAGGATCTACCTTTTGCCCCCACATGCCCAAAATAATTCATGCACCAGAGCCCTCTCTACTTTACGTTCGCCTTTGCGTTGGGGTGGGGAGCTTGATTGCATGGCAGGGTTGGGTAGGGAGGGGACAGGGTCCAGGGGAACATCTCTTACACACATAGACTCCACTCCCTGTATTGGGAAGTGGAGTCTATGGAGTGCCTTGTGGGCACTCTTGGAGGTGGGCCTCAAGAGCCCAGGCCTTGAGCTATGTAAACCATCATTTCTGATAGCAACCCTGCATGTTTGTGATATGAATGGAAGTTGATATAAATTGCAGATCAGCAGTAGTATTCCTTTTCTGGAGTATTTATTTTAGATGTGTTGGTTCTGGTATCTAAAGACTGTCCCTGCAGGCTCAGTGATGTAAATGCTGCATTTTGTGAGTTTATATTGCTGCCTAGAGAGATAGACACTAGATGGACTTCCTGTGTTAGGTCCTACAATCTTTGCAGGACTTATGTTTAGCCTCTTTGTTGTCTTACCGCATATACACATTAGCCTCCGAATGCTTTCCTGTGTGAAAGCATTGGATTGATTGAGATCATCAAGATCAATGATCTCAGCAACAGAGGTACAAGAAAAAGTCTACAGCAGCTTTGTCTTCATGTAAAGCTGAATACATGGCTTAAGCTGTCACTATACAAGAACATTTGTCCCTGAAACAATTATTTAGAGGAATGGCCAATTAATATCAATATGAACTAGTACAAGTGTTTGTAAACAATAAGAGAGCAACAGCTATTCCAAGGAAACCATTTTGTCACAAAAAATGTAAACATACTGATATCAAATACCACTTCATCCTGCCCAACCAACAGGGCAACAGTAGAGATCAAGATCAAAATTCAAGTCAGAAAAGGTCTTTAGTTATTTGTTTGTAATGTAAGTTCCTAAGAAAAACAAGTCTCTTGTGAAAAGCACATGTGAGTGCAAGTCTGGGTGTTGAGATGTAGTCCTAAGGTGCTTTCAGTAGTGTTCTTGAACACAGTACAATAAAGTTGTTGTCCTGCCTCTTCCCTTTTTGCCCATTGGCTTCCCATTTGGCCCATCTAGTCTGCCCAATTTTCAAAATACTTTTATTAGTCCCTGGAATTACCTTATGTCTAGGATAGCTTTATGCCTATCCCACGCATGCTTAAACTCCCTCACTGTGTTAACCTCTACCACTTCAACTGGAAGGCTATTCCATGCGTCCACTACCCTCTCAGTAAAGTAATACTTCCTGATATTATTTTTAAACCTTTGCCCCTCTAATTTAAGACTATGTCCTCTTGTTGTGGTAGTATATCTTCTTTTAAATATAGTCTCCTCCTTTACTCTGATGATTCCCTTTATGTATTTAAATGTTTCTATCATATCCCCCGTCTCATTTTTCCTCCAAGCTATACATGTTAAGATCCTTTAACCTTTCCTTGTAAGTTTTATCCCGCAATCCATGAACCAGTTTAGTAGCCCTTCAATGAACTCTTTCCAATTGATCAATATCCTTCTGGAGATACGGTCTGCAGTAATGCGTACAATACTCCAAGTTAGGTCTCACCAGTGTTCTGTACAATGGCTTGAGCACTTCCTTCTTTCTACTGCTAATACCGCTCCCTTTACAACCAAGCATTCTGCTGGCATTTCCTGCTGCTCTATTACATTGTCTGCGTACCTTTAAATCACCTGAAATAACTACTCCTAAATCCATTTCCTCAGATGATAAGGTTAGTACTGTATCAAATATTATCTTGCACTTATCCACATTAAATGTCAGATGCCACAACTCTGGCCATTTTTCTAGTTTACCTAAAAAATTTGTCATTTGGCTTATCCCTCCTGAACAATGTTCATTACAATCAAAATAAAAAAAAAAAATAAGGGTAATAAAAATAAAATAAAAAATGAACTAACAATGGAAGGTTAAAAATAAAGTTTAAGAAAAAGAAAGCTGGAGCATCCAATAGAACCAGACCAAAAAGTACAGATCCAACCTTTTAGAAAAAAACAAAATGTCAGGGGATCTAAAGGGAAAAGTAAAAGCATCTTAAAATACCCAGATTCCATTATTTTTTCATATACATAATACATTTGATATGTTTGTTGCAATTGTATTTATTGGCTGAGTTTTCATTAAACGATGGTAGGTTTTTCATATATTAATTTTTGTGTGTCTGGTTCATCAAAATGAATAATTGAGACAATATTAAGGTAAATTATCTAAAACACCTTTGAATACATTTGCATTCACATTTTGCAATCAATTTATTTTTCTTTTAATTTATTTATTTTTACCAACATTGTAATTTGGAGAGTGTACTGTATGGCTAAACAGGAATGCAAAACTATATGTGATCATGATTTTTTATTTTTTTTAATATTTTGCATGATGTAGGTTTTATCTATAAGATGCAAAAACTCTAGCATGCCATCTACAGCAATTTTAGGTAATGTACAGTATTCTGTGTCCCAGATACCTGTCATTGGTTTATAATACAAATTAAAATGCAGCACACAGAAATGCAAAGTATTTAAATAATTCCCCCCCAAAATATTAATAAGGTTATAATGTAAAATTATGTAAAATCTATTTTGCTTCCACTAATTTGAGCAGTATTTTTTCTATGTAATAAAAATGCTGATCCTGCATGCAAGCACCTCATAAAAAAAATTGGGAGCACGCATGCATGTTAACTAATTCTCCCATTAAGAGCAATGGTAGATCTCAGACATCTGCCAACAATCACTAAAGGAGGATCAGATACCTGGGAAAACTGCAAATGACATACGTTCTTGTGTAAGTATATTTTTGAAGTGCACATTCTAATTTGTTTTGAAAATAAATGAAATAAAAAATGTGATGCATTTTTAGACACCAGTACTTTATTAAGATAAACTGAGAGGTTTTTTTTCACTCTTCTCAAAAAAAGTAATTGCTATAAAGAGCTTTGTACTCTTTTTTCCATATACTGTATGTCTATTGCATCATACGTCTAGCATATCCACCTAAGTGCTCCTTTTCTGGATCACACAGTTTATGCTTTCTTATACTTTTCCTTTGAGGAAACCCAGATTTTTTTTTTTTTATGGTTTAAAACTGTAGGAAAACTACTGATAGCCTAAAGTAATCATTTCTTTTGTAGCTGGAAAAGTTTCATAGAATGTTTCAAAGTTAGTGGGGTGGTATTTAACCAGTCATCTCCAATTAAAGTGTTTATTATGCACCAATCGTGTGGTTGACAAGATGATATTTATGTTAGTATATAAACTTAGTCTATACATCCTGCCATCAAAAAATCCAACAAATGCATGTATTAAAATGTAAACCTACCCCCAAAAAATGTCTGCTTCCTGCAAAATGGCAGCTGCTTTGAAATCAAGGGCATACACTACTGATTAATGTTTTAGTGTGGCAAGTTACAGTTACCAACATCTGGTGGCATTGAAGGCATTAAGAAATGTATTTACTTGCACTTCACTGAATTTAGAAGAGATGAAGAATACCCCACTTAATTAGAATGCATACATTTATTTTTTTCACTAGGTTGTCTTATTTCATGTTGGTGTAACATCATTGATTGCCCATATCCGAGTAGGCAAAATGCAGGTGGCATTGGAGGCAAAAACCTTGGTACTGCCAGTAGAAGGTATAGTATAGAAAGTACTCCTCTTTTATTCTGTGCCCAAAACTAAATAGATCGGATTCCTTTAATTGGTAGATATAAAGGAGACAATGACATATCCATTTGTTTTCTCTTGTACAGCACAAAGACTGCCTTTCACCTTTCAGTGTCTAAATAACAAGGTTGAAGGTAACAGGATGAAGTTAGGAATTCTCCCAGACTCCTATCTAATTCTAGAATGGTGCTTAACTGGCATAGTAAATTATGCTTCTAGTTTGTTATATTTTAGCTTGTCTGTTGTCTATTGTCCTTGGTTGTGACAGATGGGTCCATGGAGAAGGAAATGCTTCATGGAGTGCTAATTGGTGAGGTCTCAGTCAATGTCAATACAGCATCCCAAAAAAAGCCAAATAATGGAATAATGACTTTACATACCAACACTGTATCTCAACATTTCGGACTTAGATCTGATGTGATTAGTCCACCGCTGTCCTTTCAATAGTGATACATTAATTATTAACTGGCATGCTAGGATTCTTCTTTTAGACTCATGTAAGAGAAGTAATTCTCATCAAGTGAGAAAGCTGTACCTCATCCACAAAAATATATCATCATATTTAAGGTATTCAGACATAAATCTTTAAAACACTCATTGGCCTGTGGACATTGTAGTCCAGCATTAAGAATATATTATCGAATATAATAGAATTATTGACCCAAGATAAAACCCAAACAAGCGTATCTACTATCTAGTAACAAACAGCAACCCACACAACTGCACTAGGTAGAGAGTAGCTTTATTTAAAGAAAAAATAAGCAAATAACCAGATAATACAGCTGATTATTGACACTAACTAATTCCTTATATGTCCAGGCTCTCTGTCTGCAGTATGATCCTTCCTTCATCTCTGTGTCTTCTCCGTCCTCCTAGCCCACGCAGTCTGAAAGGTGGGAGGAAGTGGCAGGTAGTCACTTCCCCTCGACATTAAATGAGCCTTTTGCACTGCTAAAGAGCCGCAGCACCTGATCTGACCCCTTATCACTTCTGCCTGCCTATAGGATTTGCACTAAGTAAATTGGCTTCCTAATGGACCCCCAAAGTCCTCATCTTCTTAGCCATGCCCTGTGTATGACTTGATTTGGACATTAAGCCACACAACTGCTTTAGTATTTTGCCATAGCAATGCAGTGCCCCCCCTCTAAGTCCCTCCCGAAATGTGTACGTAGGGGAAACAATCCTCTCAGCCCCATCCCAGGTAGTTATGCTACTGCATACAAGGATTGCTTAATTCAAACACAGAACGCACAAAGGGCAGAAGCTCATAACATCCAATGTAATAAATCCACAGTGTAGACAGAGGCAGCTCCTGGTGAAGTTATCTAAACTGTAGCTTATGTTTACATAGCTTTTATTCCAAAAAAATAGGCAAATCAGAAAAAGACAGCACAGCAAAATCCACCTCAGTAGGACAAAAATCATCTATGGATAATTCCTGTCCTACTGAGCAGGTATGTGGTACATTGTGCTTTGCTGATGTGCCCATTTCCAGACTTTAATGCTTTTGAATGTTGTGTTCATTTTAAATCACTTCACTTGGAGCAGCCTCTGTCTACACTGTGGATTTATTATAGAGGCTTCTTTCCTTCATACGCTCAGAGAAGTAATACACACCATCAAGCACCAATAAAGTGGCAAGAGTTAAACATAAATTAAAACACAGAAGATGGAGTCCCTGTAGTATATTAGAGTTCTCCATACAACCAAGGGGTTTTAGCCCTTTAATTTAAATCACCGGAACAAATAAAATAATGGGAACCTATAATAAAATATAACCTTTAATTAATATGCACTACTTTACTTTATTTATCTGCACTTCCTTTCCCTTCAATGTCTACACTTTTTTATATTAGATAGACTTTGTCATTGATGGCTGGTAAATAAGGAGGGATTCTAAATCTGGCTGCTATTCTTCTAGGGTTATTGTAGGAAACAGCCTGAATTAATTATTGTCTCTTTATCCTTCGATCTCTGCTATATGGTCAAATGTAGTTCTTGATCTTTGCTTATTAAGATTCAGGAGGTGTAGTGACCTCTAGCTGATAATTTTAGGCACTGCACATCTTTTTTTATTCCCTTGGGAACCCTATGATCTATAGTGCCTTGAAAAAGTATTCACCCCATTGGCATTTTTTGTGTTTTGTTGCATCACAACCTGGAATTAACATGGATTGTTTGAGGATTTGCATCATTTAATTTACAGAACATGTCCACAACGTTGAAGATTTATTTTTTTATTGTGAAGCAAACAACAAATAGGACAAAATAACAAAAAAAAGTTAATGTGCATAACTATTCACCCCCCTAAAGTCAATACTTTGTAGAGCCACCTTTTGCGGCAATCACAGCTTCAAGTCGCTTTGGATAAGTCTCTATGAGCTTGCCACATCTTACCACTGGGAGTTTTGCCCATTCCTCCTTGCAAAACTCCTCTAGCTCCTGCAAGTTGGATGGTTTGCGCTTGTGAACAGCAATCTTTAAGTCTGACCACAGATTTTCTATTGGATTGAGGTCTGGGCTTTGACTAGGCCATTCCAACACATTTACATGTTTCCCCTTAAACCACTCAAGTGTTGCTTTAGCAGTGTGTTTGGGGTCATTGTCCTGCTGGAAGGAGAACCTCCGTCCTAGCCTCAAATATACGCACAGAGTGGTACAGGTTTTGCTCAAGAATATCCCTGTATTTAGCACCATCCATCTTTCCCTCAACTCTGACCAGTTTCCAAGTCCCGACTGCTGAAAAACATCCCCATAGCATGATGCTGGCACCACCATGTTTCACTGTGGGGATGTTGTTCTTTGGGTGATGTGATGTGTTTGGTTTGCGCTAGACATAGCCGAAAAGTTAAATTTTTGTCTCATCAGACCAGAGCACCTTCCTCCGTACATTTTGTGAGTCTCCCACATGCCTTTTCGCAAACTCAAAACGTGCCATTTTGTTTTTTGCTGAAAGTAATGGCTTTCTTCTGGCCACTCTGCCATAAAGCCCAACTCTATCGAGCGTACGGCTTATTGTCGTCCTATGTACAGATACTCCAGTCTCTGCTGTGGAACTCTGCAGCTTACCTTAGGTCTCTGTGCTGCCTCTCTAATTAATGCCCTCCTTGCCCGGTCCGTGAGTTTTGGTGGGTGGCCGTCTCTTGGCAGGTTTGCTTTTGTGCCATGTTCTTTCCATTTGGTTATGATAGATTTGATAGTGCTCCTGGGGATCATCAAAGATTTGGATATTTTTTTTATAACCTAACCCTGACTTGTACTTCTCAACAACATTGTCCCTTCCTTGTTTGGAGAGCTCCTTGGTCTTCATGGCAGTGTTTGGTTAGTGGTTCCTCTTGCTTAGGTGTTGCAGCCTCTGGGGCCTTTCAAAAAATGTGTGTATATGTAATGACAGATCATGTGACACTTAGCTTGCACACAGGTGGACATCATTTCACTAATTATGTGACTTCTGAAGATAATTAGTTGCACCAGAGCTTTTTATGTGCTTCATAACAAAGGGGGTGAATACATACGCACATGCCAATTTTCTGTTTTCTATTTCTAAAAAATAATTTTATATATATATTTTTCTCATTTCACTTCACCAACTTAGACTATTGTGTTCTGATCCATCACATAAAATTTAGATTAATAAAAAATTTAACTTAAGGCTGTAATGTAACAAATTGATAAAAAGTCAAGGGGGGTGAATACTTTTGCAAGGCACCGTATTTATGACGTGAGATGGATATATTTTGTAGCTAAGAACCCTATTGACCTGTTAGGGGTGCTACAGCAAGGGAATGATTGAGTGCTATATGTATATTTTAATGTAATATTCTTAAGGACTTTTCTATTAAATTTATTATTTAGAATTAGCTATTTTTGTAGGATATTGCTAACTATAGTCACCCGGACAACTACAGCTTATTGTATTTGTTCTGGTGAGTTTAATAATTTCCTTCAGGCTCTTTGCAGTAAACACTGTCTTTTCAGACAAAAGGCAGTTTTACATTACTGCCTAGGGATACCTCCACTGGCCACTCTTCATATGGCTACTGGAGCTGCTTCCTGGGGCACTGCCATGGAGACACTGAACTTCCTCATAGAGATCCATTGATTCAATGCACATCTATGAGGAGATTGGCCAGAGCTTTGTTTGGCTTGTGCTGGCTCTGCCCCTGATCTGTTTCCTTGACAGTTTCAGCCAATCCAATGCCTTCGTATTGGAACGCATTGTGATTGGCTTTTATCACCACTTCAGATTATGTCAGCCAAGGAGGTAGATCAGGGTCAGAGCCAGCAGCAGCAGCAGCAGACTGGAGTAAAGGTAGGATTTTACTATATTTAGGGGGTAGGTGGTGGGCAGGGGGGGAGGAGGGACAGATGTGTTGTTGTTTTTTGTGTTCCTGTCCCTATCGTGTTCTTTTAGGAAATTAGTGCTGGCCTTTCAGAACTATACCTATATTTAGGGCTGTAGATGACACTTTTAAATGTATATTAATAAAAGGTGCTATTTTAGGATAGTTTTAGATTATTTTTTTCTTCTGACACCTCAGAATATTTTTAATATTTTTTAAAAACCTTTCCACTTGTTAACACCCTTTGATTGGGTCATATGGCTATACTGTACAATTTTGCATACAAGAGGTATAAGAATGTAAGTATGATTAAATAAATATTTGGAGGAAATCGTTTAGATAATCAAATATAATGGAGATAATATTGGTAGTACTAGTTCCATTTATATGTGTTATATTCAGTAAAGCTTGATTTATTATTAAGCAGAACAAAATAAAAAAAAAACACTTAAGCTTCTTTTCAAAGTCATTCTAAGCTCTTTTCCAGTTTGTGGAAATGGGGAGTGTGAAGAAGATGAAACATGCACAACGTGTCCGGTAGACTGCGGTGACTGTCCAGTTCCCCCTGATACACGAATGGCAGTTGCTATCCCAGTGGCACTGATTGTTGTTGGCTTCATATTGGCTATAGCAGTAAGTTATTAGTTGCAATTATCTCATTTCACCAAATAGAAAAAATGCTCCTTTATGTTTATCTAAATAATGATATTGTGCATACTGCATACTACTGCTCTAATTTGCACTGACTATATTTTTAACACATATCACTCAAATTCTAGGGGTTTCAGTACCAGAGGCAGAAGATGTTTTCAGATGAAAGTTGGATTATTGACTACAATAAAATAAAACAAGGTATTAAAACAATTTCTTATTTTTTAAAATTATTTATAGCAATTAATTTTGAATTATACATTTGCTAGCAATTGGATTCTCTTATTTTTTTTACATGCTATTCTCTATGAATTGATGACATGCTTTATTTGCATGGTAGGTATTCTTTAAGTTTTGTGGATAATAGCAAAATTAATTCTTCAAATTATGCATAACCCATAATTTTGCTTTGATTTTTAAACAATCAACCCACAGAGTGTTGAACATGTGAAAGGGAACTTGGCACCCTTACACACATCTGGTGGGACTGCCCCTCAATAAAACCTTTCCGGTATAATGTGGTATCTCAGTGAGATGGTGGATTCTCTCATAATTTATATATGATGGGAAATTACCTACTACATCTCAACCAATTCATTATTCAGAACTATCATAAATCAGTAATTCCTCCCCCCTCCTCTCCCATTTCCTAAGTTTAATCATTCTTTCGTCCTCTGTCAACCACCAACGATGTATATTAACACAAGGTTCTACTGGTCTCAGTGTTTCTTCAAACAAGAAAGAATGAATGAGTAAATGTGCACAATCTTGTTCTTGATAATCCAGATACACTGTTTTTTCTAGTTTATCTCTCTGGTATGCTTATTTATGTTACATTATATTTTCAAAAACATGGCATACTTTTTCACCTTGGCATTTATGCAATGTTTGTATTCTACGTGTTCAAACCATATTCTATACTGTGTTTTAGACTTGTGCCCAGGGGAAAATTTGATTTGTCCAAATCAATGCATCCGAAAGAAACTCTTGTTTTGGGCGATTTTGGATTTGTTCATGTGGACTAATTTCATCCATGTGACCTATTTGGGCATGAACATGAACCAATCGGTGTCCTGTAAAAAATCAAAACAATATAAATATAATGTATATATGTTGCAGTACATTGATAGGAGCATTTTCGTGCCGTTTGGTTCACAGATCAAGATTTTTCTTCCAGGAGGAGCAGTAAATAAAATCTATATTTATAATCCACTGACTTGTGTTTGATATACACTGTTTGGTATATGTGACATGAAACCCTTTTACATTTGTTACCTGTACCGTGAATTATAACTCACCCCATATTGTTACTTGTACATTTTGTTATCTTGTCATTCCCCTTGTGTTCATTTCTATTATATGTGAAAGAATTTTGAAAAAAATATATATATACACACACACACAGAAGGAGTTGAAGTTCCAGAAGGCCAAATAGAAGATGTAGAGAACAGCTACAAGTACCAGGGGGTACAATAAGCGCATGGCAACCATGAGGAAGAGGCAAGGAGGATAGCAACATCCAAGTACCTCCAAAGAGTCAGACAGGTCCTGAAGTCCCAGCTCAAGAACAAGATCCAAGCCATCAACTCAACACATATGCCCTACCAGTCATCAGGTACCCAGCTGGAATAATAACCTGGTCAAGAGAAGAACTGGTCACCATGGATGTCAAGACCAGGAAACTACTCACTATGAATGGAGGATTCCACCCAAAATCCAGCACCCAGAGACTGTACACCTGCCAGAATGAAGGAGGTCGGGGCCTGATGAGTGTCAAGGCCACAGTCCTGGATGAAACACAGAGCATCCACAAGTACATCACGAAGATGAACTCCTAAGGGAATGTCTGAGATTTCCACAGATCGAGGATGCAGAAAAAGAGAAAATTCCTTGGCAAGACAAACCTCTCCATGGGGTGTACCACAGACAGATAGTGGATGTGGCTCACATGACAAAAGCCTACCAGTGGCTGGAAAAGGCAGGACTGAGAAGACTGAAAGACAGCACTGAGGCATTAATTCTAGCAGTACGGGAACAGGCACTCAGCATCAGATCAATAGAAGCTGGAATCTACCACACCAGGCAAGACCCAAGGTGCAGACTGTGCAAATAGACCTCTGAGGCAGTCCAGCACCTAGTAACTGGGTGCAAGATGTTAGCAGGAACAGAATATATGGAGAGAAACAACCAAGTTGCTGGGAGATACCACAAAGGGTAGTTGAAAATGACAGGGCTAAGATCCAGACAGACAAGCAAGTGCTGGCCACCAACCTGACATCGTGCTGGTAGACAAGGAACGAAAGACTGCAGTCGTGGTGGATGTGGCAATACCCAGTGACTATAACATCAGGAAAAAGGAACATGAGAAGGTGGAAAAATACCAAGGACTGAAAGAAGAACTAGAAAGGATGTGGAAAGTGAAGGCAGTAGTAGTCCCAGTTGTGATAGGAGCACTCAGTTGGGGGGGAGTGGCTTCAACCGATTCCAGGTGGGACATCTGAGATCGCTCTAAAGAAGAGTGCAGTTCTAGGAACAGCTAAGATACTGCACAAAACACTCCAAGAGTACCCGAGAATGAGGAATAAACATACCACCCAGGAGGGGTGAGAAAATATTTTTTTTATATATAAACAGTTCAAAGCTCTTGCACACCAACTAAATGTGAATGACCCAGTGCTCAGTCACAAATAAATAATAAATCCCAAAAAGATACCGGCACTCTGGGAATTCCAAGTCTTGGATGTCAACGTGTGTGTATATATAAATATATGTATATAGTTGTTGTTTTGTTTTTTTACTACTCATCCTTTTTTTTTTTTTTTTAACTCAATCACTTAAAAAGAAACCAACTTTTAGTGGCTGTCCACTTACCATCAATTGTCTTTTTTTCCCCATCATATTTTTCTTTTGGTGCCACGGATGGAACTCTGAACCACAAAACCACTTATTCATCCATACAGGGGTTCAGAGTTCAGGATTATGGACATGTCATAGATTGCTTAAAATATGGATGAATCGCAATTAATTTGAAACCGAATGCAAAAGTCTACTAGGTTTTTTTGGTCATCTATGCATTTAATGTATAACTTTAAAACATTTTACACTTCTATAGCACATATTCAACAAACATTGAATAAAAAAAATCTTTGTAATAGGTTTAAGATTTTAATGAAACAAATACGTGCAAATATGCAAGGTTTGCACTATTTCCTTGAAATATAAATTCTAGGTAGATATAGATCTATAGATAGATAGATTACTTTTTTTATGAATACATCCGTTACTATGTGTATATGATTATGTGATATGCTTAACGTTAGATTATCCCATGTCCCGGAACATAACAGGAAGCACTATCAGTACAGGCAACTGTGCCAGCTATTCTAACACCAGCCATATCACTGCTCTGAGCTCCTGCCCAGCTGCTGTCAACACACCCAGAAAGCATTTCTTCACTCACACGGGCCGATAGTAAGTTCTAATCAATCAAGCTTTGAGTTATTTTTTTCAGCCATTTATTTGTGCTAATTTAATTTGAATCTATGTCTTGTACAAAAGTAATTATTCTGATGTGCTTATCTTGTTATGTACACGTATCACGATCAAAACCAAATAATGGTTACTAGAAAACTGGTTCAATCCGTATATATGACTGAAATATTCTACAGGTTAAATCTCCATTTTAGACCGAAAAGAACATTAAATATACTGCTCGTTTAAAGAGTTGGAAAACAGAAATGACACCCAACTTTATATCGTAAGCATTTAGTAGAATCATGTTTGCCTAATGATTTATAATTTGAATTAGTTTGAAATGTTCCAGTTATTCTGCATTATTTATTTACTATATTACTATCCTGTCAATTTAGCTTGATGCTGTGAATAAATATTTTAATTTTTATACTATATTTAAATTACTTTACAAGTTCTGCAATGCATTAATAATTAAAAAAAAAAACCAACAAACAATTACTTATAATGCTTATATTGAGAGATGCAAATTATATTTAGATTACTGAACCTCCCCCACCCATAGAATAAAGAGGTTGCTTATTGCTAATACAGAAGAGATAGGGTCTGCTCACTGCAGCTTCGCTTTGTGACCGAAGACAATCAAATGGTTACAATAACTGTCTATTGCACAGCTCATGACATTGGAAGATATCAGTATAGGACTGGGGTTGACCTCCTATATGTAGGCATGACATTGCTCTGCTGAAGGGCTTGTCCAAGCAAAAAGCTTGTGTCCTACCAAAAGTAAACAGTGGTTCATGTTTAGAGCACTATTGATGCACTCTTGATCTGAGTACAGTTTGTGCAGAACAAGCCCGTGTGATCATGAAAACAGGACACCAAAAAAGAAACACTGGATGACAGAAGAGGTGCTTAGATTCATTACTGTCCATCTGAAGCCAGGATTGTTGGGAAACAGGGCTGAAAATGTAACTCAATCACAAGTCATTTGCATGTAAAAAAATCAACCCTTGTGAGTATAAATTCACCCCTGAAAAGTGTTCCATGGACCCTCCATTCTTGTAGTGATGGTTAATGTGTTGGCCTGTGTAATAGCATAGAACTTTAAATTAAGAGCTCTGGCTGGGAGGTATTCTAAGTCACTTTTTAAAGTGCTTACGTTTTGAACACTTTTTTGTATTTTTCCAATTTTAATATTAGAAAGTCAAAGTGGCTCCACAATATTTTGCAAGATCTCTGAAGTTGATATCTCTGCTTTGTATGCAGCAACCAGAAGTTAAACCCACAGGTAGATATAGAGAAAAAGAGAAAATAAACAAAAACAGAGCAACCATAGGGTTAAGATAAATCAGTCTCCAAGGTTCCCTGTAATTGCAGTGCAACCCAAAGAAATGTAATTAAAAAATTACCTTTTAATAAATTCCTTCTAAAAAATCAATGCTTAAATGATAAGTAATAGGTGTCACACAAAAAATAATTAAATGAAAAACGGAGAGAAAGGAGAATAGAAATTGCAGAGTCACTAGGTTGTTCACAGAAAAAGAAAGAGAAAAAAGGGTTTGCCTAAAGTATCTTGAAGACATTCATTAGTGTATATAGTGAAAGAAAGGTCTTGAATCTGTCTAACTGTGAAGCCCTAGTATGAATAGTACTGTCTCCTAACTCCCATCACTCATAGGCTAGAATAACCTGCCTACATGTAACAAAATAAAGCCTCAATGGAAGGTACACAGAGGTTAAAGTTTAAAGATAAAAGTGAAGAGAGGGTGGTAAACTCGGAGCATCCTAAATGATCTAAACTAGCTGCAGCATAGTTCCCGGTCAAACTCCAACCACCCGCTCACTAACTAATCCCGACGCGCGTTTCACCACAGAGGCTCTTCCAGGGGAACCGAGCTGGACGCCGGCCGTCATTTAAATAGCCCGCCCTCCTCTAGGATTGGTCGGTGTTCAGACCAATCACAAATGAGGGGGCGGAGTCAAATGCCGAAGCCGGTTAACCCATGATCGCAGGGGAAACCGGCACGGAAGATTAATAAAATGAAGGGTCTTTTAGAAAAGTCAAAATAAAGTATGAATGTGGATGAATAAACTAGTTGAAGTAGAATATGGTATGAAGCAAATACCTGCATAATAAGCAGGCTTGTAATTAAAGATGTACATCATTGTTAAAAAATAACATATCAGGATAAAATTATAACATTACATAAATAGTACCTGGATTGTAAGGCAAAAAAATTGTTGTTATGTAAAACTTGCTCTTGAAGCTTAAATACATAGAAACAGGCTTATAAATATAGGTCCTCAGTGCTGGAAAATACATATGGCCAAAGTCATGCAGGTCAATTATATTGCCCAATGGTAATGAGAGTAATGATAAAGTTATAAGCAACATAATCCACCAAATTAATAAGTAAAGGTGTCCATTACTAGTTAGAAAGTAACATATCAGGATGTAATAGTATCACTACATCAACAGTGTATAAATTATGAAAGTACTATCTACTAAAAAGTTATTAAGTAACTACTTGTTCTAGCATCTTGAATACAAAATAGAGACAAGCTTAGAGGTGTAAGTCGAATATACAAGACCAAAATCATGCAGATTTAATATATTGCTCAATGAGAGTGAAAGTAATCATAAAATTGTAAATACCTAAGTCCACTTATGAATGCTTGGGAATCGTGAACTGTTCCATGTATAATGAAAGAAATAAAATACAATGAGGCTTGATACCAGATTGGCCCATAGGTATGAAGCACCTATATTGGCAAAGGTCTGATTACGAATGGATAAATGGAGTAAAATTGAACTCTTCATTTAATCCTTTAGGATAAAGTGTTTGAAACAAATTCGGCTTTCAGTAATGCAATATTGATATCCCCTTTTCTGTGATTTTGAAAGACCTTTTGAATCACTTGGAATTTGAGTACATTGGGTCTAGAGTTGTGATTTGTACGTACGTGTCTTGCTATCGGGGTGTCCAAATGTAAATTCAAAATTGAATTAATATGTTGCAAGACACGTCGACGTAATTGCTGATAGGTCTTGCCAATGTACTGTAATCCACATTCACATGTAATGATGTAAATGACATTGGTAGACCCACAATTGATAAAGGAATTAACCTCAATGTCTTTTGCAGTTCTACGATTCCGTACTTTTTTAGATGGTAAAATGAAGTCGCAAGCCTTACAGTGCCCACATTTGAAAAGGCCTTTAGTCTGAAGCCAAGTGGATTGGCTTGGTAGTGGTTCCAAATGACTCTGGGTAAGGAGATCTGCAAGGTTCTTTGCTCGTCGATAGGTTACAGAAGGTTTATAGGTAATGGTGTTCTTGAGACATGTATCATGTTGAAGTAATGGCCAATTGCGATTGAATACCTGTAAGGTATTGTTCCAATTTTTGTCATAGGTCCCTATAAGTCTGGTAACCCTAGTGGAGGATTGAGTGGTCTTAGGGGGTTTGTGTAAGCTCTCAGATCTATCTACGATTTTTGTTCTTTGGTAAGCTTTCTTAAGGATACGATTCGGATATCCTAGACTTTTGAATCTCTGTCTGAGAATTCTTGCTTCTCTTTCAAAGTCTTCTGGGTTGGAACAGTTTCTTTTTACCTTAAGGTATTGGCCGTATGGTATGTTAGCCTTTACATGAAATGGATGGAAACTGTCCCAATGCAATAGACTGTTCGTAGCGGTGGGTTTTCTGTATAATAAGGTGGATACTGATCCATCCTCTGACAGAGCAATAGTGAGATAACACAGGTAGATATACTTATCTGAACTTCTTCCTCGTGGTCACCATCTTTTTTCTTGATATCCTGATGCTTTTTCCATCAGTGTCAATGCTCTACTCTTGCACGTGAACTATAGTACACAGGGATCTGGGGGATATCACAAGATTACAGGAAACTCTATAGGCCAACTCTTGTGATGCATGAGAAGCATGTGAGTCGGAAATGGGAGGATGGGAGAGGACATATCCTTCTCAGATAATGTTATGTGGGGATGAAATTGGGTAGATCCCATACTTCAGTCATGCATCTACAAGTTAAGTTTCTCAGCCGACACATACAGGGTTGGGGAGAAGCATGAGGAAAAATCAGAGAGATGGATTCAGAAAAATGTTGGGAGAGACACAAGTTGACCGATAAGTGGAAGATAATAGAGGAGAGAAATGTGAGGAGATTGAGAGATACAGAACTATGGGAGTAGGACTAAGAAGTCCAAAATTCACATCTTTAAAATAAAATACACACATACTCAGTACAATCAAATTAAATTTATACAACCTCAACACAATTTTATCCTCACACACAGGCACTTACTTTGTATAATGATTCCATAACTCTGATACTCCACTGAATACAAGCCTGCATACTGTAACTTTGCACAAACGCACTCATGCACATCCCACACACTCTATATAAGAACTCCACAACGCTAACACTACACACTCTTGTAGTCGCTCCTACAATTGTGCTACTTCTGAGTAGTCCTCAGTATCTTTTCAAATAATAGCTGCTTGACACACAGCTTAGTTCTATAGCACACTGCCTTTATATTTATTATTTTTGACTTTTTGTCCTGCATATGCACAACTCATATGTAGAACCCTGCATTCACACTTATTTTACTACTCATAAATAAAACTATACATTCACAAACCTTAACGCTACATACAAATACACCACTGCATTTACAAACTATTGCACGAGGCACATTTACATTAAATCACACATATATACTACAGGCAACTACATTTACAAGCAATGAAAGTAATTGCAAACAGCCCAAATTCACCTGACATAAATAAGCCCACTGATTCTACCTTCACTTAATCACAAATGGCTGCATGCTATACACGCAGACATACGGAGACACACAGGGCTTTCTCATTAAACAGATAATTATGGAAAATGAATAAGGAAATTGTAAATGGTAGACCAAAACATCAACGAAAATAAAATGTTTGTTGTTGGAGAATTTCTGAGTTAGAGAATGTCTCCAGTTCAGTTCAGCTATTGTGGCCTACGCTTAATTATTTCAATTTGTGTGTTTGATATGTTACCTCAGAAAATGGAGGACATCAGGTTTTCTTTCTAAATCCCTGCCCCCCTCCCAGAATTGGTTTTGGTTCCTACTTTTGTCAACTTCAGGTTTCAACATAAAACAAATTAATTCCTACTTTGCCTTGTGAAATCTTCTGACTGCATTGCAATTCTCTTGGATTTGCTTGAATGGAAGTTTTTCTCAAAGATTCTATAGTTCTGATAAACTCAGAAGTCATGTCACCAGGTCACAGTTGTTTTAATTATCTGTCCCTGCTGCCAGGGCTGATGCAAGAATTTTTAGGCACACAGGCGGAGAGGCATTTTGCCGCCCCATCACCCCCTTCATGTATACAGAGGTGCCACTTACAAACACAAAGATTTTTGCTTTGATGCTTTTTGATTCTCAGTCATGCCACACTGTATTGCTTTGGACTGGGCTTTCATCATTTACCTTGATCCTGGGCATTACAATTCACAGTATTGTGTGTTGTGTATGAGTTAATCACAGAGAACCAAAGCAAAAAAAAAAAAAAAAACGCCTTTTTTGAGTGTATCACAAATCAGTAATGTGAGAGTAACAGGGAATTATGGGGCAAAGTGATACAGGGCTAGGGGTGTAGAATGACAAAGTGATAGCAGGGTTGGGGATTAGGGGGACAGAGTGACACAGGGCTAGGTGGACAAGGAATTAGGGAGACAGAGTGACACAGGGCTTGAGGGACAGAGTGGCACCAGACTAGGGGGGCAGGGGATTAGGGGGACAGGTTAGCACAGGGCTTTGAGGACAGGGGATTAGGGGGACAGAGTGGCACAGGACTAGGGGGACAAAGTGATACATGTCTAGGGAAGCAGTGTATTAGGAGGAGAGAGTGACACAGGGCTTATTGGGCAGGAGATTAAAGGGACAGAGTGACACAGGGCTAGGTGGTTATGGGGACAGTGACCCATGGCTAGGTGGCAGGGGGACAGAGTGACGCAGGGCCACGGCAGCAGGGGATTAAGGAGGCAAAGTGACATAGCTATAGGGGACAGGGATTAGGGAGACAATAACACAGGGCTAGGGTGACAAAGTGACACAGGGCTACAGGGCAGGGTATTAGGGGGACAGACTGACATAGTAATAGGGGGCACGGGACAGAGTGACACAGATCTAGGGGAACAGAGTGACACAGGGCTAGGGAGCAGAGTGACACAGAGCTAAGGGGCAGGGGACAAGGGGGACAGAGACACAGGACAAGGGCGCAGGAGGGCTGAGTGACACAGGGCTAGAGGGCAGGGGTACCGAGTGACACAGAGCGGGGGCAGGGACACAATAAACATAAACATATTTGTTTATTTTTATTAAACATATTTATTTTTATTAAAACTGTTTTGTTTTTTACAAGCTGTACAAGTTTTGCACGGATAAAAACATTTTCTAAATTAAAATGGTCCAAAATAATAGGTTTTATGTCTAATATAACTTGTTACTAGATGTTGTTTTAAACACAGTAAACAATGCAGGTTTTTTCATCAATAAAATTCCTTTAATTAACATCAGTATTTAAAATATGCCAGTGTTTATTTAAAATATATTTTATCTGTCTAGCATTATCATTATAATTTAACTTAATTGGAATTCCTCCCTTATCTTGGTAATGCTTTTTCGCACCCTTGGCTTTATATTGTAAGATGCTTTCTCTGTCCAGCCATTTACTTCTCGTGCTTATGTGTCAATACTATGTGGATTATATTTTTTGTTAAAAATCTGGATTTCATTATTTCCTTTTGCTCCTCAAAGATCTCTAGATCACTGCAATTTCTGTATAGTCTAATAAATTGTCCCATAGGTATATTTTTGTGCCAAGGGCTACAATGACAGCTATGCATATCAATATAGCTGTTAATGTCGACTTTTAAAAACGTTTTTGTTTTTAAATGTTCCGCATAAATATCTAAATCTAAAAAGTGGATGTCAAAATAGCTATAATAACTAGTTAAAATAATCCCATTTTGATTGTCATTAAGAAAAATTGCATTAAGTGACTACTCATTCTCACTCCATATAAAAATATATATCATCTATATATTTGTGATACAGAACCGATTCTCCACCCAGTTTGACTCTAATGACAAATTTGCATAACTGAGTGCACACCTGGTTCCCATTGCACTACCCTTGTTGTAAAAAGAATGAACTGTCAATCCAAAAAAAGTTGTTATGGAGTATTACTTTAATTCTATTCAAGATAAATTATCTTTGTCCAGCCTCCATATCCATATTTGAAATTGCAATTGTCTATCCACATATTCAGACACTATAAAAGGAGATCCAACCCCTGATACTACGGGTCTCCCTGTGGGATTTATAGGATCTATTAATTTTTCGGCAGTGTATACAAATAAAGGATTTTGGTTAATTTGACCTCCAGATATTGGAATTCGTCTTTACTAAGAATATTATATTTTCTGCTTCTATCTAATGGAGTGAAATATTTATACTTTTTTTTTTTATTCCATAGGGTCTCCTTCCAGTTTCTTATATGTAGATTTAGCACCCAATTGTCTACAAATATCTGAAAAGCGTGCATCTTTACTTTGTATTATTATGCCCCCAGTTTGCTTACTTAAAATACTTCTGTCAGATTGTAGTTCTTTAATAGCTCTTTGTTGTTCTGGAGATATTTGTTTTCTCATTCTTTCCTAGATCTTCTTTATATCATTCATCACTAAATTTAAAAAAACATTTATAGATCCATTAATATACTGTCTAGGGAAGAATAAAGATTTGTTTTTAAGGAGGTATGAATAATATTGTAAATGTTTCTGTAGAATACTAAGACTTATATACAGGATTTAAAAAAAAAATGTTGTTTGATGGATAACTTGTGCACACATTTATGTACATTAATAAACGTATCAAAAGGTTTATTGGAGCACCACGAAGGAGCAAATTTTAGGCCTTTATTTAAAACATTTTTCAAAGACTTTCCAGATATTTAAAAAATGCCTAATTGTTGGATTCTCTCTCTCTCTCTAATTGAAAGCTGTAAATTACATTTATTAACTACAATTCTGCTGTGAGTTGCACAGCAATAAAACACATTAATATGCACATGTACAAATGTATTGCTGTAGTCAGGTTTACTAGTGTTTGACACTGTTGGTTCCTTTAAAGGAAAAATGTAGTCCTAAATCTATATTTTTAACATATCTTTGCTACTGTCCCCCTTGCCATGTGATGGCTTAATGGGTTGTACTTACCCTTCAGCCTTTGCTGTGCTAATGCCGTAGTCAAGTTCAACCTCCTTGACTGAGATCATGGAGATTGATGATCTCAGTCAATCTAATAGAAATGTTTTGGGAGGCTAATGCACATGCATGGCAAAACACTGCACTGCGCTAGTCACATGGTCTCTATGAGATCTGATGGTGGCTATTTCGTTGGAAGCGTTTTTAATTGCTGTCAGAGTGACAGTCACTAGAGGCATTTAAATCCTGCAATGTAAACATTGCTGTCCATGCAGAACGGCAATGTTTTCATGGGCAGGGTTAAAACTAGAGGGTCGTGGCATTGAGGTGTTGTCTGGGTGCCTACAGAATCCTATTAATTAATATGATGCATATTAGAGGTTTCAAGAACTTTATTTTTAACCTTCAATAAGTATATTGACAGCAGTTTGCTGTAGCATACATGACTTATGCAAAATACCTCCCAGAATTCTGTAATTTTTGTTTTAAATCCTTTAATACTTTCATTAATGAGAAATCAAAACTATTTACTTAGTAGGTTATGTACAAAGGAAGTAGCTTCACAGATAAAGAGCTACTATTTTCAGTAAAATGTAATTTATTCTCCCCATGGACTCAAACCTTTATAAAAAAATATAACATGGGTTATATGAGATATAAACCCCCCTATGAAAACACTCCATAGGAAAAAAAGTTAGCATAACCAATTATGACAGTTATTATCTTCTCCGATTTTAGTGATGGCAGAATTGTGGCAATTAAGAAAATCCAAAAGAAATCATTCACTGTTTCCGCCACAATACGCAAAGAAGTGAAGCAGATAAGGTAACTATTACATTTTTAAATGATAATGTAAACATCATGACTTAATATAGCTCTGCCAAACCATTTTTTCACAAAAACTGATTTTTTTTTCTGGAAGCTCAAATTACACCCAAATGTTGATTTTACCTGGCAGAATTTCAATACCAAAAATCTGGTTTGAAAATGGGCCAATCAGCATGCTGCAAAATATTTACACTTAATAATATGATGTATCTATTTAGCAGTATACTGATGGGCACTGATCAAGTGAGAAAAAGTCACTAATAGAGGTATAACTAGAAGGGACAGTAAAAGCAACAGAAAAATCTATATTTATATGTTATATATTTATTAAAAACATAATATATAAATATAACTTTTTTTTTGTTCTGATTCTCCTTTTTTCCCTCTATTTATCACTTCTCTCTTGATCTATAAATACAATCAACAATTACTGGTTGTCACCTAGCCATCAATCTTATTTATTCCATTCAATCATCTCTTTTCTTGGCTTTGGGCTTCAAAAATAAAACAACCATACTCGACCATTGGGTGCAAGTAGTAGCTGCTATAAATAGCTCAACAAGGGGAAAAATATAACTTTTTATAGAGTTTTAATATAACTTACCTCATATTTCCCATTATTATACAGAGTCAAACAATAGGCTCTGAATTATTCACAGCTTATTGTTTGCCTGTTTACTACTGGGTTACCGTACATAGTTTCCTAATTGTTACTTCTTCCTGTTGTTCCATTTTTAGGGGATACTTCCTGTTTCATATTAGGTATATTTCAGACTCTGTATCTTTGTACTGGCATAATCTGCCTAACCTAGTCTGTTTTGCTTCATCATACTACTTCAGAAATGTGGCCCTAATATACAAGTATGTTTCTCAAGTCCTCACCAACACATCTTGTATTCTTAATGATTACATCAAAACTTTAAAAGCCATTTCCATGTCCTGTGTCGTATGTATTGCTTATTTTTCTTCCCCCTTTGTTATTCCCTTTTTCTCCTTACTTTATGTGGATCCTTAGTTCCTGTGCACCGCCTCCTTATAAATTGGGAGTAGCTAGCTTTGCTATAAACTCATGCTCTAATCAAGCATATTTGGTGACAAAACTGAATTATTTGGACCTATGCTTATTAAAACCACACTTTTACTTCTTTGCAGAGAACTTGACCACCCCAATCTATGCAAATTTATTGGTGGTTGCACTGACGTTCCCAATGTGGCTATTATCACCGAGTACTGTAATAAAGGGAGTTTGAAGGATGTTCTACTGAACGAAGATATCCCTCTGAACTGGGGCTTCAGGTATGGAAGTACATTTTAAAGAGTCAATTTTTTTGTTTTCTGCATTCTTTTTTACAGCATACTTTTTTATTCTTAAATCAGATATAAATGTGTTTTTTCCTGAAAAATTCTGTTCATTTCAATGACCAGGGCAGCAAAAACATAACAGGTGATAAATAAAAGAAAATAAAGATGGGAGCGAAATCAGTGGATTGGTCCAATGTTGACAGCTTGAACATGCAACTATATCAGTAGTAATGGAGAGGGAGCAGGGTAGTCAGAAACTTAATGATTGTAGGTACTTTGCCATCTTGTGTGCTCTAGTATGCAGGGACCCACAGGTGACACCTTCTATCCCGACCAATATGACAACAACTTCTAAGACTTTGGCAAGAACTACAGCATTTGAAGGTCCATCTGAGTTCTTGGTTTTCCATGACAGCAACTTCTGGGTTACTAAACTGGTCCCGGATGACAGAACACCTTATTATTATTATTTATAAAATATTTTACCAGGAAAGATACATAGAGATTTCTCTTGTTTTCAAGTATGTCCTGGGTCCACAAAACATTACATTGATACATTATGGTACAGTAAAATACAAAAACAATATTAATACACAATATACACAAAATTTAACATAGAATAGGTAGGAAATAAATAATCAACCATAATACGTGCATTCTGTTTTGAGGTATGTAGAGAGGGATCTCTTAAAGGACTTTAGGCTTGGGGAAGATTTTAAAGTGTGCCTGAGGTCGTTCCACAATTGTGGCACGCTGTAGGAGAAGGAGGATCGGGCTGCTTTCTTTTTGTATTGAGGTAGACTAAATAAAGTGCTGGTACCGGATCGGAGGTTATAGGAGGTGGGAACAGCCGAGGAGAGCATTTTGCTCAGGTAGGGTGGGAGTTTCCCAGAAAAGCTTTTAAACACAAGGCTGGAAAGATGAAGGGTGCGTCTGGATTCCAGCGACAGCCAGTTTAGTTCTTTTAGCATGTTACAATGGTGGGTCCTGTAATTACATTGTAGCACAAATCAGCAGAACGAGTTATACAATGTATTGAGTTTATTAATGTTAGATTGCGGTGCAGATGCATATACTACATCCCCATAATCAATAATTGGCATCAGCACTTGCTGTACAATCTTTTCCTTTACTGTAGGACTTAGGCAGGATTTGTTTCTGTACAGGGCACCTAGTTTTGGATAAAGTTTAGATGCAAGTTTTTCTATGTGGAGGCCAAAAGATAGATTGGGGTCTAACAATATACCCAAGTATTTGAAAGAGTGGACTGCGTTCAGTGTGCTATTTGAATTCGTTTTAATGGATAGGTGGGAATTGTGTAATTTAGGTACTGTTCCAAAGATCATTGTGACAGTTTTGTTAGTGTATAGGAAGAGTTTATTTTTTGCGATCCACATTTCTACTTCTGTAAACTGGTCTTGGAGCATAGCCTGAAGCTGCGGTAGATTGGATTTGCTCGTATAGATTACTGTGTCGTCTGCATACATGTGTACATTTGAGGATTTGCAGACATTAGGCAGATCATTTATAAATAATGTAAGTAATAGGGGGCCGAGAATGGAACCTTGGGGAACACCACACGTGACTGGGAGAGGGAGGGAGTCGCTGTCAGAAATGGACACATATTGCGAGCAGTCCAATATATACGATGGAAACCAGGTTAGTGGACGATCACCAATATCTGAGTATTTGAGTTAGTGCAGTAGAATGTCATGGTCTACAGTGTCAAAGGTCTTAGCAAAATCAAGGAAAATAGCTCTAGTTAGGTCTCCTTGTTCCATGCCAGTTTGGATGTCATTGCAAACTTTTAATAGGGCAGTTGTAGTGGAGTGATTCTGGCGAAAGCCCGATTGATCAGGGGTCAGATAGTCTGATCATTGGTAATACTCACATAGTTGCGTATGGACACATTTTTCTAAGCTTTTGACAATGCCGGGAGCAATGACATTGGGCGATAGTTAGAAACCAAAGTAGTGTCACCACTTTTATGGATAGGCACTACTCTCGCAGTCTTACAAAGTTTGGGTATGTATCCAGACACCAAGGATTCGTTAATCAGGGTTGCGACGGGTTTAGCAATTTTGGTGCACTGAGCTACATCAACATTGCTGGGATTTATCCCACCAAGCGTCACATCGCTAACGAACAGACCATATCGGACCATATTCTTGATCTCTGCTGGCGTAATCTTGGCCAGGCTGCCCCCCAGGTGAGACGCCCACACCCTGGGAGTTCCCTTGTAGCCCACGATGGCGGCGTCCTGGCAGTTCTTGTTGGCCATGAGGTTGTTGATGTAGTCTTGCCAGGATATGGTGTTGAATGGCGGGATCAGGCGAGGTGCAGGCTGGGTACAGAGCTCGGGTTGGCCGGGTGGTCTCCACTCTAGGAGCCTCGTGCTCGGGGTTCGCACGCATGATCTGTTTATGGCATTCTTAACAACGTGGTTACATAGGCACATCATTTCAGGAATATGAGGTGATTTAACCCCTTAAGGACCAAACTTCTGGAATAAAAGGGAATCATGACATGTCATGTGTCCTTAAGGGGTTAAATAGGTTGTACTATAAAAAATGTGAGTTCAGACTATGTAGTGGGCCCATATGTGAACACGTATGTGTAAGGCTGTAAAATATTTATTTGACTTGACACAATAAAAGAGGCATAAATAACTCATGTCATGGCTTATTTCAGTATTTCTGTGGTTTGCCAAACCCTGGCTCAGGCATAGACACAGGCCAGTTGCAAAAACTGTTGTTGCCCTAAGCCATGAGTTGGCATCCTAAGCCATGAGTTGGCATCCTTGGATGAACAACATCTCCCCTGATGCTTTGACTGCATTCTGATCGCAAGCGCATTATGTGTATCAGTGGCAGAACTAATGTAGGAGGGCCCTCAACATAAGTGCAAGAAATTATTTTGGGCCCCCCTCTAGCGGAAGAAGGGGCCAAAAAGTATAACCCCATCTGTTGTACAATTCCCACAATGCTATGCCAGCTGCAGATCTACCATTTGCCCACCCTTGCAGGGTTGTATTTGTGAGCAGTGTTTGTGTGTTTGAATGTAAGCATGTTTTTGTAAAGAGTATGTCCATGCATGTCGGTGTTTATTTGTATGTACTGTTACCACTGGAATGCTGTGGTCTACTTATATGCAGGGCCGGACTGGGAGAAAAATTCGGCCCGGGCATTTTTTTAACACAGCGGCCCACTAAAAAGGGGGCGGGGCAGAGGAGGTGTGTTTTGTCATCACCAATGACAAACATGCCTCCTCTCAAAGTGAGCATGTTGGTTCAATGCTCTTCCAGGGCAGACCATGCGCAGAGCTCTGATGAAGAGCTCTAGCATGAGAAAAAAGTCCTGTATTTGTTCTGCACAGTGCAAGCAAATTTAATAACATGCTTGCACTGTGTTTCCTTGCAACTTGTCTCTGGTGTCTTTATAAATGGATACCAGGAGACAAAAGGCCAGGAAAGAGTATTGTGCATGTGTTTGGAGCCTGCTTGTGGTATTGCGTGTGTGTAGAGTGAGCTGGTCGTGGTGTGGTATTGTGTAATAAGGTCGGTTTTAGTCGTGTTGTGTTTGTGGTGTAATGTGATGCATATGTGGCTCAGGGACCCCCTCCCGCCCGGCTCTGGAAAGGGGTTAAAACTTACCTTTTTCCAGCGCCGGGCGGGGAGCTCTCCTCCGATCCGCCCCGTCGGCTGAATGCGCACGCGCGTCAAGAGCTGCGCACGCATTCAGCCGGTCGCATAGGAAAGCATTTATAATGCTTTCCTATGGACGCTTGCGTGCTCTCACTGTGCTTTTCACAGTGAAAAGCACGCAAGCGCCTCTAGCGGCTGTCAATGAGACAGCTGCTAGAGGCTTTGGGGGAAGGCTTAACCCATTGATAAACATGTTTATAAAACAATGGGTTAACCCTAGAAGGACCTGGCACCAAGACCACTTCATTAAGCTGAAGTGTTCTGGGTGGCTAGAGTGGTCCTTTAAGAGTGTAGTGTGTGTGTGTGTGTATATATATATATATATATATATATATATATATATATATTTGGAAGTATGTGTGTGGTGCAGTGTGTTGGGGGGGTTCTGTGTGTATGTGAGGGTGCGGTGTGTGTGTGTGAGGGGTGCGGTGTGAGTGATGGGTGTGAGAGTGCCGTGTGTGAGGGTGCCGTGTGTGAGGGTGCAGTGTGAGCGTGCTGTGTGAGAGTGCTGTGTGAGAGAGTGCTCTGTGAGAGTGCTGTGAGAGAGTGCTGTGAGTGTGATGGGTGTGAGGGTGCTGTGAGAGAGTGCTGTGTGTGTGAAAGTGCTGTGTGTGTGAGAGTGCTGTGTGTGTGAGAGAGTGCTGTGAGAGTGCTGAGAGTGTGATGGGTGTGAGAGTGTTGTGTGAGAGAGTGCTGTGTGTGATGGGTGTGAGAGTGCTGTGTGTGATGGGTGTGAGTGTGCTGTGTGTGATGGGTGTGAGAGTGCTGTGTGTGATGGGTGTGAGAGTGCTGTATAAATGTTATTGTGTGTGTGTGGGGGGGGTAAATAAAAAAAAAAAATAAAACAAAAAACAGTCATTATTCCCCCCCCCTCCCTTCTTACCTTTAGCCTGGGAGAGGGAGGGGGGGGGGACCGGCACGCTGGAACCTGGCAGGCGGGGTGGCGGGTTCCCTGGTGGTCCTCGTGGGTGAGTGAACTCTCGCGAGATCCGGTCGTTGCTATGGCAACGCGCCGGATCTCGCGAGAGGAACCCGGCAGAGCTGCAAATTAGAGCTCCGCCGGGTCCTCTCTCCAGCCTGGCTGGCTCCCTCCCTCCCTCCCCGCCGGCGGCCGCATGTGGGCCGGTGAGGGAGAGCTTTGATCTCCCCACCGGCCCGTCGTGGCAGACAGCGGGGCCGGCGCTGGGACAGTGCCGGCCCTGCAGGGGCCGCCCGGGGAGATCCTGTGATCTCCCCTGCCGGCCTCGGCCCCACGGCCACCGCGGCCCACCGGGCATTTGCCCGGTGTGCCCGATGGCCAGTCCGGGCCTGCTTATATGTAGTGTTTGTGTTTGAATGCAGGGCTGTGTTTGTGTCTTTTTAAATGCAATGCTGTGTTTGTATGTCATGTTTGTGCTTGATTGCAGGGTTATGTATGCATGTTGTGTTGCTGTCTGGTTGCTGGAATGTATGCACATACACACATACTTACACAGATATACATGCACATTAATACACACATATAAACACATACAAACACTGAAACACACACACAGATACACACACTGACACATACACAAACCATGAAAAACAGATACACACACTGATACATACAATCACACTCAGATATACACACTGACACATACACACCTTGACACACATACATAGAATGACATACATGTCAAAATTTACATTTGCAGCGATCCTCCTAATAACTTACCTTTGTGTGCTGGAGGGTGGTTTGCTTGGGGTCCACTCCAAAGACTTAGCAGTGATATATCATGTATATAAAATATGTAATAGAATGTATGTAATCCAGTAGGATTGCATTCCCAAAGTCAGGTTGTGGCCTAAAGACTGGGCAGGCAGCACAGTAGCAATGCTGAATAGACAGGTTAATGGTGAAATTAGAGCTAATTGCCCGTCAGCATAGAGAAAGTATACAGAGACAATGAGAAATTAAACAATGTTTCCGTGCCTCCTCCTCATTTGCAATGTTTGCCCTGACTTTGCTTATGTGTACTTGATTTATGCTATAATTTGCTAAATCTAATGTAAACAGAAAATAATACAGAGCATCTCATGAAAAGGTTAACACACATTTTAGGTGATATTTATATATTTTATTCAAAGGAGTACATTTTAGTAAAGTATTAGTTACCATTTAATCTCCTATATCATTAAATGCTTTAGTCTACAGCTTCCTTCCTCATTCCTCTCCCCTGTTCTGTGCATACATTGTCCCTTGACTCTTTTATACTATGCCCAATACTTGTCCTCCCCCACCTTCTTCTCTATACCACTCTTTTCTTTCAGTGTTTTGTTGGTGACAACTCAAAGGTGACGATTCCATGTGACACTTTTCATTGAACACAGGTCTTCTTGATATTACAAATTAGAATGCCAGCCTTTGGGAGCACATTTAACTTAAATTATACCATTATTATCATAGGATGTTATTTCAAAAACATGCACAAAACTAGTGTGAATAACACAATTTGCTAATTGAATTAGCACTGATGTGTCAAAAACATTCTATTCTGAGCATCAATCTCAAGTCTCTCTTGGTTCTGGATTGTATTACCGGAGATACATGCATCCCTGGTAAATTGAATATTATTTTTCTTTTATAGGTTTCAGTACAAAGGATGGGTTTAAAACACAGGGATGACATGCATCCCATGTAAGTTTATCCAGTCCCTGGAGAAATAACAAACAGTTATATATTTCATGAACAATGATAAACTGTTTTTGATATAAAAAACTGATATATTTATATACTCAAAATATCTGTCAAAACTAATCAATTGCATTAACTTCCCTGCGTAGCAATTTAAAATAAAAGGCACAACTGCATAAACATGCTTCTCCTTTTCTTGCACTTTAAGTTGATACATCACCCCATTGTCTCTGCGGAGAGAATACAATTGCTTATGTAGGGATCCATTAATGACCTATGCTCTGCAGGGAGGCCCACAGTATTGCTTAGTAAAGCAAAAGGTGTTCAAATTGTGCCCAGTTCTAAATTGGTAACTGCTTTTGCTTATATATAATGTTGACTCAATTATTTTATGGACATGCTTTATAAATATATATATTTTTGAACATTCTCTCTTATTTGAAAATGTCAAGTCACGCTATGTTTTTCATGCATTGTTGGCTGTGAGACATAAAGCTTTTTTAAACTAATTTGTTAGCCTGATTTTTAAGACTGTTAAATATTACACCGAAATATACTGGATTACTATATAGCCTATTATTATTTGTTGTGCAAGTTTCATTATAGTGCTTTTAAAATCGTTAAATCCTGCCTAAATATATATATACATTTTTTTTCTTATATATGTAAAAAGCAGATAAAATTTTTATCTTGCAATATTTATTGGACTAACAGAATTTTTTAATGACAAGCTTTTCAGGAGAACCTCCCTTTCTCAAGTCCGAAGCATTTCTGAGCAAGACGACACATAGAATTCAAAGTTGAGTTGTGATACAGGATTTAAAGTGACATGAGTGCAGATAAGACACAGGTTTCACAACTCAAATTTGAATTCTATGTGTCATCTTGCTCAGAAATACTTCAGGTTCTCCCGAAAGCTTGTCATTAAAAAAAACTATGTTGGTCCAATAAAAAAGGTATTACAAGATACAAATTCTATCTGATTTTTACTTCTACATCACTGGGCTAATACGGCTACAATCTTTACTTGAACTATATGTGTGTTTATATATATATATATATATATATATTTAGATTTTTTTTTATTATTATTTATTTATTTGTCATTTAGGTTTTCATTTGCTAATGACATAGCACAAGGTATGGCATATCTCCATCAACATAAAATGTACTATCCACGTCTTAAATCTACAAACTGTGTCATTGACGATCGCTGGGTTTGTAAAATTACAGGTAGGAAAATATTATGGATAATTTAATAACACTGAAGAAATATCCCAAGATTGATTATTTCAGTTTTTCTAGTTTTATGTACATCATGTAGCCTTCAATCTTTCACAATTAAGGATTATTTTTTGTTTGCATTTTATGTTTCTTAATGTGAATATCTACATCACAATAATTATTAGACTTGTGCACAATGGAAAAGTTCAGAATATTTTTTTTCCCAAAATTGCATTTTTGCTCAGGTTCATGTAATTGTTCATGTAATTATTATAAAAATTCAAATATTATGTATATATTTTGCAGTACACTAAATTTTTTTGACATTTGGGTAACCAGTTAAATGAGAAAAAGTAACCAATAGAGGGACAAAAGTAAGAGCGGTAAAACATCTATAGGTATATAGTATATATTTATAAAAAAAATATATAATATATAAATTTATTTTTTTGTTTTACTGTTCCTGCTTTTTCCCTCTATTGATCATTTCTAACTTGATCTACAAATAAAATTATAATTTAGTGGCTATCCTTTAGCCATCAATGATGTTATTCCCATTAAACATTACTTTTTCAATAACGCACACAAATATATGAATTTATAAAAAAAGAGTTGAGAGTCAATTAATATATATGCAAAAAAGAAAAATGTATTTATAATACAAATTATGTACACCAATTCCTGGGTAATATGCGAATCACCGTATTAATTTGATGATATCCTTCATGAATTCATTGATTTTACAGACTTCATCGTATACACATCCCAGAGTATGTACAGTTATTTACAGTCTATGTACACAATATATATAAAATATATATATAAATAGAGTTCGATAGTTCATGTGGATCCACTGCTAAATAGTTCTCTATGTTTAGAAAAATGTATATACATCACAGAAAAAAAGTGGGAAAAAAATAATGAAAAAAAGGAAAAATATAAAAAAGAGATAAATATGGAAAAAAGGAAAAGGAAAAAATGAGAAAAACTTGATAATTGAATATTCAATGTATATACAGAAAAAAAGAAAAAGAGTTCTTTGGATCTCACCAATTGAGAATTGCAATCCCAAACTTCCAATAATCCAATAGTAGTAGGATGTCCAATAGTTGTTAAATAAGGTGTAACACCAGAGTCCCTTGATCTGCAAACCGGGAAATCAGGGTAGACTCCTACACTGGGTATGTCCAATATCAGAACTCCTTGTTGCTAGGCTGTGCTGGGCATGTATTGCTTCTTGGCTGCTCTCACTCATGTCCTGCTCAATATGTGACTGCTGGGCTGCGCGCTCAGGACGATCCAGTCCCTTCAATGGCCCCTATTTCTTAGTGCAGAAGGTAGAACTAGAACTATTAAACCAAATGAACAGGTTCAGCCATAACGTTAATTGTTTGCTTATATGTCCTTATGGTGCTCCAGAGATATGGAATTCAGCAGAACAGCTGATCAGCCAAATTTGGCAAATTGCAATACAGCTGAATCGCAACGCACAAGTGTAATATTTATATAATTGTGTGGAATGATGTATAAAGGTATTATGGAAATATACTTTAATATGCACCAAAGCATTAAGTGCTCAAAAACTAGAGACTAGGGGGAGATTTATCAAAGCTAAGCAGGTGCTATTCTGGGGCAAAGTGCTAATTAAGGAGCAATCACCATGGAAACAAATAGAATGCCGCTCAACAATTAGCACTTTGCACCCGGGATAGCACCTGTTTTTTTCTGTTTTTAAATCTCTCTCAAGATATTTTAAACAGTTTGTTTTTGCTGCTTTGTATATTCTCAGTGTCTCTCTAAGTGAGAAGAGTAATTCAGGCATTGGCAAACAATTTGTTCATTCTTGAGTGGTAACTATCCATAGTGGAAAGCTTTTGTCTGTCCTTGATAATTGTTCCCCAACCCTATTTTCACATTGCTCCTGAATTCTTTCTGTACATTTTTAATTTAATTTTAGTCAGAAACTGAAGTATAAACAGCTGTTTAATAAAAAGCTAACACAAAACCAAAATGAACTCAAGGACAGGGTACGAAAGTAAGAAATTTAAAAAGATAGAAAGAATATTACAAAAAGAAAGACAACATTACAATCTTAACCAACTTCATTGAACTGCAGATACACCTGTACCCAGGGACGTATTAGCCGCGAGGCAAACAAGGAATTTGCCTGGGGCTGCATTTTCCAGGGGGCAGCAAAAAAAGCCGCCCCAAATACCTGGGCAAATGCCTTGTTAGCCTTGAGGCTAACAGTCCAGGCCGGCGGTCGGGCGGCGCTGGCGAGGGAGCACACAGTCAGTGTGTGTCTAACACAGTAAAGGAGTTTAAGCATGCGTGGGATAGGCATAAGGCTATCCTAACTATAAGATAAGGCTAGGGACTAATGAAAGTATTTAGAAAATTGGGCAGACTAGATGGGCCGAATGGTTCTTATCTGCCATCACATCCTATGTTTCTATGTTTCTATGTTTCACTTTCCCGAGAGCTGTCTGCTAGGCTCCCTCGCGCACCGCCCGCAGAGTGATGCCGGGAGCCGGAATATGATGTCATATTCCGGCTCCCGGCATCACTCTGCGGCGCATGAGGGAGCTGAGCAGAGAGCTCAGGGGAAAGTGCTCCCTTAGCCAGCGCCACCTGACCGACCGCCCAGCAGCCACTGGACCCCCAGGGGTGTGTTAATGTGAGTAAGTGTGTGTCTGACTGTGTGTGTCTGTTAGTGTGTGTGTGTCTGTTAGTGTGTGTATGTGTCTGTTAGTGTGTGTGTGTCTGACTGTGTGTGTATGTTAGTGTGTGTGTATGTTAGTGAGTGAGTGTGTCTGTTAGTGAGTGTTATTGTGTGTGTGTGTGTGTGTCTGACTGTGTGTGTCTGTTAATGTGTGTATGTTAGTGAGTGTGTGTGTCTGTTAGTGAGTGTCTGTTAGTGAGTGTTAGTGTGTGTGTCTGACTGTGTGTGTCTGTTAGTGTATGTGTCTGTTAGTGTATGTGTCTGTTAGTGTATGTGTCTGTTAGTGTGTGTGTCTGACTGTGTGTGTGTGTCTGTTAGTGTGTGTGTGTCTGTTATAGTGTGTGTGTGTGTCAGTGTGTGTGTGTCAGTGTGTGTGTGTGTCTGTTAGTGTGTGTGTGTCTGACTGTGTGTGTCTGTTAGTGTGTGTGTCTAACTGTGTGTGTGTCTGTTAGTGTGTGTGTGTCTGTTAGTGTGTGTGTCTGACTGTGTGTGTCTGACTGTGTGTGTTTGACTGTGTGTCTGTTAGTGTGTGTGTGTCTGACTGTGTGTCTGTTAGTGAGTGTGTGTTTCTGTTAGCTAGTGTATACGTATCTGTCAGTGAATGTGTGTGTGTGTGTGTGTGTGTGTGTATTTAGAAGACGGGGCAGGAGGGAAGGGTTTGGTGGGGGCGGCGCGCAGGGTGGAGGGTGTCTGAGTTTTGTCCTGCCTAAAGCAGCACAAAACCAAGATACACCACTGCCTGTACCCAGAACTGGACTGACTATAGTGCACACCGAGCAAATGCCAGGTGGGCTAATGGTCTTTAAGTAGATGTGGCTTCAATATGTTGCTGCAGTCCAACAAAGTATTGTACAGTCTGCCACAGCCACAAGAAGCAATTTAGGAAGAGACCAGCAGAATCTAGTTTGTTGGTATCATCAGAGACAACCTCAGCAGAGAGCCAAAGTAGTTTCCCAGTGTCTGGTCTAGGTGGTGGTGAGTCCGGTGATTATATCACTCTTTTCCCAATGACTGCAGACATAGTTTATTTTAACTCTTGCCCAAGAAGAACTCAACTATGAGCCAGAGGAATTACAAGAGCAGAGTCGGGAGAAGGCTGGCTGCAGCTGACTATTTTCTCCAGCTAGTTTTCACTCTCCTTCTTCATCTTCACCATCTTATCTAAGGCCATCTCTATCGGCTTTTGAATCAACTCATCCAACGCAGACAGTTGTAACATCATCTGCATCCAGTGCCCCTGTCATTGGGTTTGGCACCATCAGGCGACAATGTCCACTGCCACAAATGCAAATCCATCTGCATATTCACCAGCCAAAGGTTAAGGGGTTAAAGCTAGTGTATTGCACCAAGGTAAAGTTTGGTATTGCTTTGAGTACCTCCAAGAAGGGTGATTTGTAAAGTGCACATTTTTGTTGCAAGGAAGTGAGTAGGATGGAGAGGGGTGTGTCATTTCCCTAATGCCAGTATGAACCTACATCTACAAAGACACTACAAGTCTGTATAACTGAACAGAAAAAGCAGAAAACGAAAGTGCTCAAGCAAGTAGTAGGTTCACTGGTACTGTATCTGGATTAGACTGCCTCTATGGCCCTCATATGCAAAAAGGGTGGGTTTTTTTTCTACATTGGCACAAGTAAACAGAAATGTTTAACCAAAGGTTAAGCCATGGAGGTTCCTTGAGCTTTTAGCCATTCTCAGTGTTGTCATATTCTCTGTTTTCCCAGCAGTGCATTGGTTTCGGATATCCTCAAGTTAAAAGGGTAATCCAGATGTAGACACTGTGCTTAGAGTATCAGCTACGCTTCGCTGATGGGGCCTGAAGACAGCTGGAACAATTGTTTGGGGCTACTGTGTCTTCTGTGCAGTTTGAACTTGCCAACATTTTGGATCTGGATTGCCCTTATGGACGGGATAAGTCTGACATACAAATTGTTGGGGTTCTCTCTGTAATGGCATACACAACGTGAGCGTTGTGTGGGCACAGCTCTAAAATGTATGGGTGGGAATCATGACTGGCTTGGAATGTAATGACTGCTTAGATTGTGATCTCTGAGACTACAGACCAGACATGACAACACTAATAAAAGTGATCAGGAGGGTGGACTGACATGCGCCAAAAATGGAGAGAATAAAGTGTACAACCACTGAAGAACATTGAACAGCACTTGGCTTATCCCAAGTGCAACAATATAAAGTGCTACTTACAAGATCATCAGCAGAACATGCCAAAATGATGGCAGCACCACAAGAAGATGATATATATGAGGCTCTATGCATGGTTTCAGAAAAAATACAAGCCCAGATAACATTAGCAACATTAAAGCTATGTTGTACTGCCTCCCAAAAGCTATGTTGCACTGCCTCCCAAACTAAACAAGACCTTACTGAGATGCTACAGAAAGCAAAAATACCATCAAAGAGGATTTAGATAAAGTAAGGAGTGATGTAAGACAACTGGGCATGCAAGTGACTGACTTAGAATAGGAGAAAAAGAGACCACCCTGACAGAGGTACTTCACCTTCAACAAGTAGTACATAACCTAGCCCAACACATAGTACACCTGCATTGATATGTAAAAGATATTGATATATGTTCCAGGTGAAACAACTTCTGAATTAGGGAGGTGCCAGAAGTAGAAGGCACAAAAAACATCATATAGAACCTTACCATTATTAACCTTTAACAGGTCACATGGAGCTATGCATCCCAAAGCATCCACCCCAGCATCTCACAGAGATATCATCTGCTGCCTTTATTACTATGCTTTTAAGGAAGACGTGTTTTGCAAAGTACGGAACTTACCTCCTATACAATATAACAATCCTACTATCTCTATTTATCAAGACCTCTCATGGTCCACTTTGCAAGCAAGAAAAATATTAAAACAGATAGAAGCTATCACAGCTAAAGGCCTTAAATATTATTGGAGATACCCTTTCAGCCTCACAGTCCATCACCAAGGACAATTGTTCTCTATTCAAAAGCTCCCATTTCTCAGTTATCCTTAAACTGGCACCCCACGATTTATCCCACTATACACACTTGGAAGAATTTGAAGTCTCACTTTTACATCCTTTAACTCATAATCCACTGGTACTTTCAGGCAGATCTAAACTGTTCCACAAGCCATCTACTGATGGCTCATATTTTATGCTCAGACAATTTTTAGCTGGATCCAATCTAATCTCGCCACAAGAGTTATTACAAGGCGAAAAACCATCATTGTTAGATTGAGGTGGCCACGGATTACCAATCCCCTAACCACTCCAGAATAAAGAAAAATTACCATATCTACCCTAATATTCAGGAGGGGGGGGGGGCAATTAAACAAATAACTGTTGGAAAAAAATTATATTTAATATCATAAGTATTCTTTACTCTAATTTTTTTTTATCTTCAGCCACACAAAAGACCAAATTAAAATCCACAATTCCAAACATAACTGTTTAAAATAAAAATAAAAAAGGCTAGGTTCCCCAAAAAAATACACAGCCGGAAAAAATGAAAACTGCTCAGAAATAATAAATAACCTATCTTCACCCACGGATGGCTTGACGCAGATTAATTTCGGACGATGGGGAAAACCCTTATATAGGCTTTCCCAAGCTTTCTTAGCTACTGCAAAGCATGTGTATTTTACAATATGACCAGGAGCTCTTGGATTGGCTGGATAGTAAGCCAGCCAATCAGAGCTATCTGACCGCCAAGTCTCAAGAAAAGTCAAACATTAGGTCCTCCCACTTTAATATGAAAATTAGGGACATTAGCAGGGGCACTAGGTCCCTTTATTATTAATATTAGTGGTGGGGCCTAAGGGGGAATTTGGTCCTTCCCAGTGACCTTACCCAGTTCATGGGTAAGGGCATGGGGAGGACAATGGATGCCTGACATGGACTGGGCATTGGGAAAACTGGACAAATGCCATGGACCAAGGTCGACAGATGAGATCAAAAGATATCCCCGACAGGCCTATGCAGAGCCGACGCTATCCAAGCGCCGATTTTGTGGCTTCACAAGCTAGTGGGTAGATCAAAGATCTTTCTGGCCCAAAGGCACTTCATTTCAAGAGAATGAGGGGAGAGTAGCACACGGGAGGCTGATTATTACTTCCACAAGCTGACAGTTCAGACAGTGCCAGAGCTTGCAAGATGAGCTGCAGACTACTGTCGCTCGCCACTACCAGACCACACACAATATAGACCCATTACCACCCGAACAGTTACACACTGCATCTCTCACACACACTCTGTGCCTCACACACATGCACACTCCAAATACTGCACCCCTAATATGCACTGCACCCCTCTTACAAACTACACCCCTCACACACTACATCCCCCATAGACACTACATCCCACACTGCACCACCTATGCAAACATACACTGCATCCCCTGTGTACACACTAGATCCCCTGTACAGAAACACATATTATATTCCCTAAATACACACCCTCTACAGCCCCTACACACACACAATGCATACATAAGGATTGCAGGTGTGGGCATATGAAGGTACAAACCTCCATTATGGTAGTATGGAGATCTTATTGAGCCCATAGGATTTTCATTTATTTATTTAATTTTAAAGTTTTTTTTTAATGTGGCAGCTATTTAGCAAGCAATGGCTAGCCACCACATAATTAACCCTCACACTACCGAGGTTTTTTTTAATTGTGTGCTTGTAGTTGGCACAGGCAAATCATTGCAAATCATTGCAAAAAGCAAGTGAATTATAATTTGTGAACATCCTGCCAAATGCATTTGGTTTATTTTTGGTCGTTATTTGGTCGTTGATAAATATACTATACTTCTGCTTTATATTGGTTCGCATGTGGTTCTATTATTACTTAACCTCTTAAGGACCAAACTTATGGAATAAAAGGGAATCATGACATGTCACACATGTCATGTGTCCTTAAGGGGTTAAAGGGACACTATAGTCACCAAAACAACTTTAACTTAATGAAGCAGTTTTGGTATATAGATCATGCACCTGCAGTCCCACTGCTCAATTCTCTGCCATTTAGGAATTAAATCACTTTGTTTATGCTGCCCAAGTCACACATCCCTGCATGTGACCTGCACAGCCTTCCTAAACACTTCCTGTATAGAGTCATCTAATGTTTATACTTCCTTTATTGCAAATTCTGTTTAATTTAGAATTTCATAGCTCTGTTAATAGCTTGCTATACCCCACAGGAGCCTCCTGTATGTGATTAAAGTTCAATTTAGAGAGCAGATTACACAGTTTTAAAGCAAGTTACGATCTAATTGAAAGTGAAACAATTTTTCCATGCAGGCTGTGTGAGTAACAGCAAGGGAAGGTGTGGCTAGGACTGCATAAACAGAGACAAAAGTGATTTAACTTCTAAATGGCAGCGAATTGAGCAGTAAAACTTCAGAGGCATGATCTTTACACAAAAACTGCTTCATTAAGTTAAAGTTGTTTTGGTGACTATAGTGTCCCTCTAATTAGGAACGAATGTTACCAAATTGGTCAGAGCAACCAAATCCTGACCGCATTTGGCTTTAGAAAATATGCAAATTGCAAATGTGGTTATAGTTTAGCAATTTTCACTGGATTATAGTGTTTAGTGAATAACCCTGTAAAATCTGTTCAAATATTTTTCTTTGCTCCTTGGAGAGGGCTTAAAGAAAGAGTTAAGATTAATTTGACCCTCTGTGTCTTCTAATGAAATTAAATGTTTTAAAATAAATGTTTTAAAATGGGGATTAAAAAATAAAATAAAATAATCAAATAAAAAGCTCTTTAACATAAACTGACCCTAGACTTTCTACTTTCAGATTATGGTTTAGATTCTTACCGCAAGTTTGATTCCTGTGATAATTCTAAGACCTATCACAATCTCCTCAATGAAGTGTATTTGCCTCCTGAGGGACAGACCATATCCAGCCCAGAAAATTCTACAGCAGCTGATATGTATCGGTAATATATGAGTTGTAGTGTTTATGGAGCAAATAAAGCCATAATTTCTTTTATTATAGAGCTTTCTATTGTATTAGAATATAGACTTCATTTTATTACACCTTTGTGTCTACCCAATGTATTGAGTAACATTAGCTTTGCAAAGATTTTGAGAAAGTGCTACTATTTAACCTGCCACTGGATAATGAATTCTGTAGTAGTTAATATCCTGTTGATGATGAAATTGTGTCTTTATTAGTATTTACTACTTAAAAAAATATTCTTATATTTCTACTAAATTTATTAAAACCATTTAAAATGCAGTCAAAACACAAATCATAGATCATGTATTTTCTTCCTGCTACACACTTATGATACCAGTGGGAAACACTCATATACTGTTATTATGTTACAAGCATTTCTAGAAAAAGAATATATAATATTTAAAACATATTTTGTTTTTGCAGCTATGCCATTATTTTACTTGAAATAGCAACAAGAAGTGATCCTTTTCCGGTAAGGATTTTAAAAAAAATTTATATAAGCAAAATGTATTTTTCTATCTTGTGTTGCATTTATATTTAATGCAAATGTAGTGGTTTAATTATACTTAAAATGAGAAAACAAAATCAGGCTATAAGCTGCTTTTTAAATACTATTCCAGTATGTCAATCATATTTTGTTAGAATTAAGTGTTTGTCTTGTACAAAGCTGCAGAATATGTTGGCGCTGTATAAATGATTGAAATTGTAAGTGAATACTAGTTACCTCAATTTCTCACATTCTCACATCAAATCCAAGCCACCAGAAAGCAGAATACAAGTCACACAGTGCACCATACATATAATTTTAATATTTTAAATAAGAGCGGATTTCTAATTGAGGAGCAGCAAGTAAGCACTGAGGTTTTATTAGACATACACCTAAAATATATGGGCAAAAGTATTGGGAAACCTGACCAGTATACCAACAGGGACTTTTATGACATTGCATTCTAAATTCATAGACATTAATATGTAGTTGGTCTGTAACAGCTTCCACTCATCTGGGAAGGCTTTCCACAAGATTTTGGAGTGTTTCTGTGGGAATATTTGCCAATTCATCTAGTTGAACATTTGTGAGGTCAGGCACTATTGTTGAACAAGAAGACCCGGCTCACCATCCGTGTGGGCCAGTCAAGTTCTTCTACACCAAACTCATCCAACCATAGCTTTGTGCACTGGGACACAGTCATGCTAGAATAGAAAAGAGCCTTCCCCAAACTTTTTCCCCAAAGTTGGAATCAAAGTATTGTCCGAAATGTCTTGGCATGCTTAAGCATTAAGATTTCCCTTTACTGGAAGTAAGGATCCCAGCCCAACCCCTAAAAATAGCCCATAACATTATCCCTCCTCCACCAAACTTTACAGTAGGCACAATACAGTCAAAAAGGTAATGTTCTTCATACTCCAACCCAGACTCACCGAAGCGTGATTCATCACACCACAAAACGCGTTTCCATTGCCCTGGGTCCAGTGGTGGTGTGCTTTACACCACTTGATCCAATGCGTGGCATTGTACTTGGTAATGTGAGGCTTGCATGCAGCTGATCAACCATTGTGATAATAATGCCAGTGGAAGTTTGGCATTTTTTTGCCTTAATAAATCTGCCCTTGTTTTTCTTGAATTGAGTGCAGTGATACATTGTCTGTAGATGTGACATTCTTCGTAACTGAGTGGTACTATAACAAATCACTTTGTAACAGCTTACACCAAGGGCAATCAAACATTTTGTTGCACGTTTCAGGAGTTATATAAAACATTGCTATTCACCCAATTCATCCTCATTCATAGGTTCGATTTTCATTTTGCAGTCGGCTTATTATAATGGGTTAATTCCATTTAGCTCAACTCCAGCATACATTTAATTTTAGAAATTACCTGTACAATAAAAAAACAAAAACCATGAAGCACAGTTGTACCTAGGGCTATTTCTATTTTATTTTTAACATCTATTTGATAAATAAATCACAATTTATTTTTGAAGTTGAGCAATAGAATTTGAAACTACCTATTAAAATGTAATCTGGGGCAATTGGGTTTGAGGAGGAATTTGATTTTACAGGTACTTGAATGGGAAATAGTAATATTTTGTTCCAAGAGGGACTGCTAAGCCCTTTCGTAGTATTTCAAGAACCCAGCAGGCCCATTTGTAAAGAAATCTTTTGTGCCATAATCATATTCCAGAGTAACCAAAATGCATCATAAAAATATTCTGCGTACTAGAACACATAAATATATTGTTTTTAGGAAGCACCAACCTTCAGTCTATTTCCATATGTGTGTCAAATCCAACCCAGGTTTCCAACAGGCAAGGCAGTTTCTAAATATAAAAGCAAAACACACTGTTTGTTAGATAAACAGAGCTGAGTGTCGTAGTGATATGCGAGATCACATAATTCAGGAAAACACAGAAGAGATTGAGTGATGACACTCAAAAGTACAACAAAGTCATAACTTCCACATCAGATGAACTAATAATAGACAGCCTAGGGATGTTCTCGGAACAGTGTTATAGAGAGTATACAGCATTCAGTCACATGGGAAACAATTGAAGCATTTGGCTTAAGAGGATTTAAGTTTAGATTGGGGATATATTTTGCTTTGTAGAAAGATCAAAAGAACACTGTGTAATAAGTAATCATGGCAATACTGTAGTAGTAAGAGGAGTTGAAATAGTGTCCGATCACCAACTTAAAGATGCAGCGTCTTTTTAAGACTGTATGTGCAGGGATTTTCGGATCAATGGTTATATCTAATCAAATTTGTATTCTCTTATCAATAATGTTGTAACATGGTATGAGGTGAAATTGACAAACAGAGATATTGAATACCAGAAGTTCTTTCAAATTTTGTATGTTTTTTTTTTTTTTTATAGATAAGCCTGGTTAGTCATGAATCTTCTTATCTTACAAAACCTTAAACAGCAGCATACGTATCCATTGATGGAATTTCTGTTCTTTGCTATGTGTTCATATTTCTCTTCTTGCAGCCGACACAATTCTCTTTGTATAATGTTGTATGGGTTTCAAGTATAGCGTGGCATCTAGCTATGTTTCCACTTTCATATCTCGCTCCTCGAGCCCTCTGTGTTAACTCACTATTTTGTTCCAAAATGCACATCTTTGAGCAATTATTTCACTTTCTTATTTAGTTATTCACATAACTGGTTCACATCTTTACAAAAAGGATTAGTCACTAAAATTAGTATTGTTGGGAATCGAAAGTGAATAAAATGTGAATAAAAACAAAATTGAGGTCCCAGTAGCTGAATTGGAAACATAGCTGACTTCGAGTCCAGCTAGTTTTTGCCTTAAAGTTGAAATACTGGTGCCTGCATATTTTGTGGAAGTAGAACATTGAGTAAGCCAATGAGGAAAAAAATAAATTATGTGGGTATACAATTTTTAGCCTTCTGTTTCCTCATGGCCTAAACCCACCTTATTAATTTATTTATTTTTCAATGCATTTAGATTTAATGTGTAAAATGTATTCATATCCAAGACCAGTTTGCATAGGGAGAAAAGTGCATAGCAGTTAACAAACTCTTCTTAAACACTGACAAAACTGTCACAATGATCTTTGGAACTGTACCTAAATTACATAAACTCACTGGTGTACATACCGCGGTATGTACTCCAGTGCGGCCACGGCCGCATTTTGCCAGGCTCTTCTCCTGGGGGGCCCAAGAGCTGGCCACCTCGGGGCCCCGCAGCTGGCCGTGGAGTTACTTTGCGGGCGGGCGCATTCTCCTCTGCGCTCTCTCTGCCCATCTCCCTCGCATGCACCACAGTGTTCCCGGAGCAGGAATATGATGTGGCGCGCGAGGGAGCTGAACTGGAGGATCAGTGCTCCCTCGCCGCCTGCAGTGACCGGTCGCCCAGCAGCCCCACTGGACCCCAGGGAAAGCTGGAATCCCCTCAGCACTCCAAAAAAGGTAGGGAGGCTGGGGGATTAAACAAAAAAAATTGTGTGTTAGTGTGTGTGTGTGTTTGTGTAACTTGTGTGTTAGTTTGTGTGTGTCTGTTATTGAGTGTGTGTCTGCTAGTGTGTGTTAGTGAGTGTGTGTGTTTGTGTTAGTATGTGTGTGTGTGTCTGTTACTGAGTGTGTTAGTTTGTGTGCGTCTGTTAGTGTGTGTCTGTTATTCAGTGTGTCTTCTAGTGAGTGTGTTAGTTTTTGTGTGTCAGTGAGTGTGTGTGTGTGTCTGTTACTGAGTGTGTTAGTTGTGTGGTAGTTTGTGTGTGTCTGTTATGGAGTGTGTGTGTCTGTTAGTGAGTCTGTTTGGTGTCTGTTAGTGAGTGTGTGTTTGTCAGTGAGAGTGTATGTTTTGTAAGTGAGTGTGTATGTGTGTCTGTCACTGAGTGTGTGTCTATCAGTAAATGTGTGTGTCTGTTAGCTAGTTTGTATGCGTCTGTTCGTGAGAGTGTGTGTGTTTGTTAGTGAGTGTGTATGTGGGTCTGTCACTATGAGTGTGTGTGTATGTATGTGTATCTCTCTGTGTGTCTGCATGTGTGTGCCTGTATGTGGGTCTGTATGTGTATCTCTTGGTCTGCATGGGTATCTGTTTGTCTGTATGTGTATCTGAATGTTTGTCATTAAAGGACCACTATAGTGCCAGGAAAACAAACTTGTTTTCCTGGCACTATATAGTCCTTGGCCCCCTCCCACTGGGCTGAAGGGGTTAAAACCCTCTCTCCGCCCCGATCCGCCTCTCTGCTCCGAATGCAAGAGCCGAGCACGCGTTAAAACCGCCCATCGGAAACCATTACTCAATGCTTTCCTATTTACGTCCAGCGTCTTCTCACTGGGATTTTCACAGTGAGAATCACGGAAGCGTCCCTAGCGGCTGTCAGTGAGACAGCTACTAGAGGTTGTTTTCAGCTGCAGGGTTAAAATTAGAGGGACCTGGCACCCAGACCACTTCATTGGTCGTAGGGGGTCACAGCCCTGCGACCCCTGTGACCAGGTGCCTGCCGCCATGTGTTGCGGCCCTGGCCCACGCAGTGTTAGTGCCGGGGGGGGCAGATGAGTTTTCGCACTGGGGTCCCATGGATCGTGTGTACGCCACTGCATAAACTACAAAATCAACAACTGTGTATCAGAACAAATTCAAATAGCACACTGACAGCAAAAATCTGTCAAAACTCTATCCAAAACTAGGTGCCCTTTACAGAAACATATCCTGCCTAAGCCCTACAGTAAGAAAACAGTGAAATAAATGCTAATGGCGTTCATTGATTATGCAGATGTAGTGTATGCACCTGCATCGCAAACCCACCTCCGATCCAGTACTAGCACGATATTTAGCATACCGCAATACAAAAATAAAGTAGCAAGATACTCACTCCTTTTCCTACAGAGCACCGCAATTATGGAATAACCTAGAGGACACAGTCAAATCTTCATTCAATCTTAAATCTAGAGATCTAAGGCAATATACCTAAATACAGAATGCACCTGTCATGGTTAAATATATTTATTACCTGTTATGTGTTAAATTTATAAATGTGTGTGTGTGTGTATATGTATGTGTGTATATATATATATATATATATATATATATATATATATTTACACATTGTTTGTATATTGCATCTTTGTAATATTGTATCCTGTTGTAACAATACAATGTTTTGTGGACTCAGGACATACTTGAAAACGAGAGAAATCTCAATGTATGCATCCTGGTAAAATATTTTATAAATAAATAAATACAAAAAAATATTAATTCATTGTTTATGTGATAACCCCAATATCCTAGTTCGTTTTTAATTGTTTTACATATAGTTTTCATAATTACAAACTGACATTCTCGTCAGTTGATGCTATTTACTGCGTTTATAACAGGCATGGCTGTATAGTTGCTTATCAAGATCTAGTGACTAAGACATTATATTTTTAATCCCTTGTGTGGTGTGGTAACATTTTGGATCACTGTTACATTTCCTGGCTAACAATGGCAGCATTGCATTTGAATTAGCTCTCTCCACAGTCGGCAAGGTCAGGAATTAAACAATTAACTGGTTAACTGAATATTTCAGGAAAGTAGGACTAATAGAAGAGAATATTTCAGATCAGGACAGCAAGATACTTTCAGTCCACTTCCTCTAATAAAGGTACATTAAGAAGAAAACCTATACTACATTCAACATTTTCTGAAGGCGCACAGGCATGGACATGATTAGTAAGAAGTCAACTTCAAGGCTTCTTTCCTGCCTGGGCTTAAAGCATAACAGATTATTGTGCACTATCTATAATAATATATGGATATGTAATATGGATACGTAATAAAGCTCAAGAATCTTCCTGCAAAATACATCTTCAAGAAATCAACAGTCTCATCAGCAAGCATCAAATGCATCATTTAAGAAGTACCAATATCAGAAAGATTCACACTCTATTGTCCTTCTAACTCCAAGGGAAGTAATACTCAATGTAAAGGCAATCAATCCATTATTGAACAACTATGTATTTCAAGATGGAGATTATTGTAACCATTGTTCACTCAGGAGGTTGGATCATATCAAACAATCTAATAGATGGGGATCCCCATCCGTCCTTGATACTTTAAGATCCTTTGATTTTGGGGGTTAGGTAAACACTTTCAGTTCATAGGTTTAACATTCAGGTTAAGACTCGCACTCATGACCTTATTCAACTTCCTGAAGAATCACGATATATTAGTGTTCCAATATTTAGACTATATATTTATGATTGCACAGTATATCAGAAAGAAGTTTGTCTCACATAATCAGTAATCCAGATATATTTAAAAAAAAGATTTATTTAAGTCTATCACATGAATCCAAGTCACAATATCACTATTATCAAGAAGACCATGTCCCATTGGAAAGTAAACAGAAAAAGCCGAAACGAAGATACAGTGTATTATAAACCTCTGTCATCTATTAGAAAAAGGAGTTCACAAGCCTGCTACTTTACGCCTTCCGTAGGGATAATGAGAAGAATCAATTGGTATGTGTCAAATGGAAGAGAGCCTGGGACCAAAATATGATTCCTAAAAAGGAAACTTCAGTCAAATCTGCAAGAACTGAGAGCAGAAATGAAAAATCCACAATTGTTCCAAGGCAAGTTGGATTATTTCGAGGTAGTGATCCAGGCAGATGCAGACATTACTAAAATTGACTTAATGACAACTAAAAATAGCATGCAAGCCTTGCTTCCTTTTGTGATGGTGGATACCTGTTTTCGCCCATATTGTAACAACTCAAACGCTTAAAAAGAAGTGTATCATTGCCGTTATCCTAATTAGGCCATGAAAGTATTGGTTCTCACCTTTCCAACAAATTTGTCTGAAACAGCCTCATGATGCTTATTATAAAAAACATATTACCTTGCGAAAGGAATATAAGGATATTTTCCACATCAGAGCAATTCTCAGCCAGTTCTTTCATTTCTACCCAAAGTGGCAATTAAATAGCATATTCAACAAGAAGTGGTGTTTCCTACTTTATTCCAAAAATGTATCCAAATAATGTTAAATGGTATAAATTGGATGCCAAACATTGACTTTTTAAATATTTAGAGTCTCAAATTACTTTTACAAGTTTGAGATGCTGGATCTTGTTGGATATTACTAAAGCAAGCAAATCAAAGACTCGTCAATAAAATATATAAAACTATTGTGCATGTAAAAATGGAATTGGCTATACCTTGAGCAAGGGTTTTTCTAGGACAAAATCATGATCATCGCTAACAATCTTTATTAAACACTACAAAATGAATTTGACATTCTAGGTGGACATATGCTTTTTTAAGCAGTTTTTTCCTAATGATAAATATTTTATTTTTTTACCAATATTTTCATGTTGGGGCAGCAAGGAAGGTAAATCCAGCTCTGTGATTTTAATCAATTGTTTTATTCCTTTCCTTGCTTATTGTGGGAGCAGAACTAACTCAAAAGTAATATTGCCTTGGCTAATAGACAGGAAAAGATAATTATGGCAATAATGTGAAATATATTTTTCTTATTATTGGTCAGATCTGAAATCTAATAAACATAGTAAAAAAATATGTTAGTAACACTTCTATGTCTCTGTTTTTCCTTTTATATTTAACTGTAGAAAGAGGACTCTGAGTACTGCTGCCTGCCTTTGTCAGAGTTAATCAAAGAGAAATCAGAAAATGGCTGCCCATGTCCATCAGAATATGTAGATGTAAGTTACAAATAGAGAAGGGTGAAAAAACCTTCAGATAAAAAATAAATTAATAAAACTGAAATATAAAAGTAAAAAAGGTTCACCCTAAACATACATTTGAAATATTGTTAAGAAATTCAAAATGCTCTAGACATTGGTGTATGTTCACTAAACTGTGAATGATGGTGACAAAATAGCTAAAATGGAAAAAAAACTGGATTGGAGAATGTTTCCGATCCAGATATTATGGCTTAAATTTTGCAATTCAGTTTTCCATTCACCTCAATGTACTGTACAGTAAATTTACCAGAACTCACTAGTGTTTAACTGTTTGGGTGACAATGCTTTTTCAGTGGGTGCCCACTGCCCACTGGTTGGAAGAGGCTTAGCAGTGGATTACCGATGAAAAGAAAAAGACAAAAAAGCACTCCCACAGGCAACTTTGACTAACCCTTAGGAAGCCTGAACTTGATGTAACTATATTGCTCTTGATTGAACTGCACATAATAAATTATGTGTTAGCAGCACTAACTTAATCAGTGCAACGGAGAAACCTTTGATACTGCAAAGGTTCAAATTAATGAGTTGTTTTGAATATGCTTTGTTAAATATATTTATATTCTAGTTTTAAAATGAGAAACTGAAGCAATTTATCAATTGAAGGATGAGTTGCCAAGCTAATGCAATATACATATATTTGGTCTTTGTAAAAACAAATGTCAATAACCACTGCCATAACTGATGAATTATCGTTGAGGAGTACATGCACAATTGACATGTGGATGGGCCTCCTCCATTCTGAGACAATTTAGGGTTTTGTCCCAACATCTCCTTTTATCTGTGTTAGGGTTATTTGTGTAATTTGGTGGCCATGCACTACAATCCCAGGCGATCTATCATAAAGGAAAAAATGCTTTAAGCGTAAAGACTCAAGATTAGATATGGCATTATACCTCTGCATTCAGTAAATGAGTACATGCTCCGAGTGATGTTAAATAGGCATTCCCACTTAAAGGTACCAAACTAGGAGGAGCTATGTACTAAACGGCACCCTAATTTGGTATTTTTAAATAGACAATACCACATAAGGGTGCCAAATTAGCGAGCCATTTACTGAAAGAGCAAGAATAAGCAAAAACGATTTTCTAAAATCTGCTCTTTTAGTTGCATTGTAGATAAGTTCCTAATTTGTTACCCTTAATTATGGAAAGCCCATATAAGGAAAGGAAACTAAATTATAGAGCTTTCCACTACTCATCTGAAAGAGGAAAACTAAGAAAAGCCCTTTTTCTTAAATGTGGTCTTTTAGTTACTTTTTTGATAAGCCCCTAATTTGGTACGATTAATTATGGCAATCCCACATAATATAAGTCCCTAATTTGCTATCCTTATGAAAACAAATGGATCCAAACATCTTTAGAACAATTTATTCAAAACATTTTTATTTACGATAATTTTGGATACTGCCAAATTCTGAAGTTTCTGAATCCCCAGATTTAGCAGAAATGTGGATCACATTTGACTTGTCCGATATTAAATGCACATATCTAGTAAGCTCCACAGGACACAACAGATCCAGATCAAACCTTAAAAAAAAAATGTATATTATCAAACACATATCACCCATATGTCCCTTTTTTTTCTATGTCACTCACTATTGTTAGTGTTTAACAGAACTCCATAGCAATAATACTCACAGTAGCGTGTCTTAAAACAAATAAATGTGTTTAGAAATGAGTCTGTGTAAATACAATACATTGTTCTTGTTCTATATTATAATTTAGTTGCATATATTGTTATTAGTAAAATTACCTAAAATTTCTCATACTACCCCTGCCCCTGGTCACCCCCCCGCACACACCCCTATAATTGAAGTGTCCCTCTTTGGTCGTTTGAAATGTTGGAAGGTACGCTTACATGTATATTTAAAAAGATGTCTTGCACACTGTGCACTGTGACTTATGTGCTTACTATTATGTTGTAATTTAGTTCAATTTTTATTGTAAGATTTCATGAAGATCTAGATCAACGTAACCAAATATTTAAAAAGTTGAAAGTAAAAGCAATACATAATGAAGGGACAATACTTTTCAGGCACAGATCATCAGACCGACCTCAGATATCCTCAGAAAGCACCGTCTGTATAATACCTAGATCACTTTATGCTAGTGTATTAAGATAATCCAAGGTGACTCGTCTCACATATATCACAGCAGGCAGTTCACAAACTACTCATGGATATTGTAATATATCTGTTCTTTGCTGGTATTCATGCAATCTTACCACGGAAAAGGCCCGGATTTACGCTTTATTTAATTTCTCCTGCAGCTTATCAGAAAGTGTCGAAGCCAAAACCCAGCTCACAGGCCTACATTTGAGCAGGTTAAGAAACAACTGCACAAGATGAATCCTAACAAAGTCAGTCCTGTGGATGTGATGATGACACTGGTAAGACTGAATGCTTTCCCTTTGGATATCTTGTAATTCTGAGAAACGAAAACATATCTGCATAAGCATCAGTGGGCTAATGCACAATTTGCTTTTTTCCATTTCAGCTATTTTTGCTTTAAATTTGAAAATCACTTTGAATTCTCACTTTAGTGACTAGCCCTGTAAATGTATTTCATGAATTTTCATGACTGTCCATCATGACACTTCCAATTATTTACAACCCTATGCAAACCACAAATCCAAAATTACCACAGACACCTTCATTGCAAGGTAGGCCTTGCCTGTTTTATTAATTTAAGAGATTAAACAAGCAGAACACTACAAAATACAAATGAAAAAACTAAAGCATTAATGATGTATTCTATTTCTTCTTCTATAAGAAACAAAGCCAAGAGGAGGAGGGTGTGTAAACCAGCAACAATGTATTGTTTTGCAGAACCAATGTTTATGGTCAGTAAAACCAATACCCTATCTCTTGCATCCTGGTGATGGAAGGGGGACTGTCGCTTAACCTTAATTCTATATTTACTTAGGCCATATATCTAGCACATATGTATTTGCGAGTTGTGAAAAATAGAATTAATTGTAGAAATACACACTTCTTTATCCTGCAACTGGGTGCCTCCATCTTGGCTTCCTGTTGATCAGTGTCATAAGCATACAGTGGAGAGGAAAAGTAAAACAGTGTTTCTGTCTTTCCTCCTCACATGCAATGCTTGCCCAGTCTGTGCCTGGAATGAACTGGATTGTGATGTTATTTGTTAAATCATTAAAGGGACACTATAGTCACCAAAATAACTTTAGCTTAGTGAAGTAGTTTTGGTATATAGATCAAGTATACATGTGACTTATACAGTTTTCCTAAACACTTCCTGTAAAGAGTCATCTAATGTTTACACTTTACTATAATCTTTTAAAGTAAGTTACATTTGATAGAAAATTAAACCATTTTTGTCATGCATGTTGTGTCAGTCACAGCAAGGGAAGGTGTGGCTAGGGCTGCATAAACAGGAACAAAAGTGAATTTACACCTAAATGGCAGAGAATTGAGCAGTGAAACTTCAGAGGCATAATCAATACACCAAAACTACTTCATTAACCTAAAGTTGTTTTGGTGACTTTAGTGTCCCTTTAATATAAACTTAAAAGAAAACTAAGCACTATGGGAAAAATGGTTGACATGTTATAGGTGATTTTCTATGATTCATTCAATGGTGGAATTTCCATAGAATTGACAATTCTTTAACACACACACATAAAGCAGTAATGCCCCATATTCCCTAATTGGTGCGATTTATTTTATTTTTCAGGTGATTCATACCATAGCTAATAGGACTCAATTACTGTTAGAAAGTCACATTGCAGAGTTCAAATGATCTTTGCTGAATGATACACTTCAGCTTCACAAGCCATCAGAGTATTCCCATTACCAGCTCATATAGGCTACAGTCTTTCTTTTAATGCTTTTAAAATGCTACTTTCCTACTTACGGTGCAGCTTTTCAAAAAAGCTGCAATGCTTCTCCATTTTCTGAGTATACTCCATAGGTTATGATGCACAAAGATTAATTGTCACTTTCTTAACCTCTGCCTGCAGGGATTCTTCTAAAAAGCCTTTGTCAACTTCAACATATTCCAAACAATGCTGTTTCCCTAATCACCACTGATGCTCTTTTTGAATTCAGCTGTTAGAAAGAGACAATAATTCTCACATTAATCAAATTCTATCACTGAAAGAAAATGCCATCATGATTATATGGATTGAAATTAAGTAATATAAATATAATTTATTTGGTTTTTTTTTAGATGGAAAAATATAGCAAACATCTGGAACTATTGGTAGCAGAACGCACACAAGATCTAATGCATGAAAAGCAGAAGACGGATCAATTATTATATAGTGAGTAAAATTAAGTTAAAAAAAAATCTGATTAAATGTAATGATGCCAAAGTACCCAAGGGACACTCCACCGGCCAATTAAACAAACAAAAAAAATATCTGCATTGGGGCATATATAGAACAGTTTACAAAAACCAGTGGCGCACTAAGAGAAATGGCAGCAGAAGGCGCTGGGCAGCCGACAAAGCTCACACACGCAGGGGCCGGTCAGGGAATACAGCAGGAGTAACTGAACAGAGAATTAGGGGCAAAGCCATTCAGATGCGGGGTGGGGCTACAGGCAGCCTCCACTTGCTGCTCTTACTGCAGCACACTGAGGGGAAGCAGGAAGAAGTCCCTGCTTCCCCAACTACAACACACCAGGGACATCAGTGACTCCACTCATCCACCAGTAAGTAAGTGTGTGTGTGTGTGTGTGTGTGTGTAAAACTGTGATTGCCTGTGACTGTGTGTGACTGTCTGCCTGTGACTGTCTGCCTGTGACTGTCTTCCTGTGACTGTGTGTGTGACTGTCTACCTGTGACTGTGTCTGTGACTGTCTGCTTGTGACTGTCTGCCTGTGTGTGATTTTGAATGTCTGCCTGTGACTGTTTACCTATGACTGCATCTGTTACTGTCTGCCTGTGACTGTCTGTTTGTGCCTGTGTGTGTAAATGTCTGTCTGTGACGGACTACCTGTGACTGTTTGTGACTGTCTGCCTGTGACTGTGTGTGACTGTGTGCATGTCACTGAGTGTGTGTGACTGTGTGATGCTGCCTGTAACTGTGTTGCAGTTTGCCTGTAATTGTGCGTGTGACTGCCTGTAGCTGTGTGCATGTGACTGTCTGTCTGTAACTGTGTGTGTAACTGTCTGCCTGCAACTGCTTGTGTGTGACTGTGTGTTTGACAGTGTGTGAGTGACTTGATTTGTCAGTATATGTGTCTGGGACTGTGTGCATGTGGCTGTATTTGACAGTATATGTGTATAACTGTGTGCATCTGACTGTGTCTGACTGTCTTCGCTTTGCAGTGAGCCGGCATGTAACTGTTAGGGACCAGGAACCAGACAGAGACAGAACTAGATGCAAAACACCTTTATTAATAAATAACAAATAAAGAAATAACCAAAAGCAAAGTCCAGGAGGCAAGCAGGGGTCAGTCACCAGAGTGGGTAGTCAGACGAGCCAGGATCAGGAGAACGGAGATCAGCGAAGTCAGGAACAAGGCCAGAGTCAGGAACCAGGAACAAACAGGAAACACAGGAACAAGGAGACTTCTGGGGAACAGAAAAGCACGCAAGGGCAAGGAGGTACTGGGATTTGCTGCTTAAATAGGCTGCACTGATTTGCAGCAGGGTTGATTACTATTCTCAGGTGAGTAACCGTGGCAACATAGTGAAGGAGCTGATCGTTAATCTCAGCTGAAAGCTCAGACACAAAAAAAGGAAGGATTGCTGTTAAAAACAGCAAAGAAACCCTGATAGTACCTCCCCCTCAATGACTCCCCCATCTCTGCTGGTGGGTCCAGGCTTCATGGGGAAGCAGGCGTGATAGGAACGAAGGAGGGATGGTGCATGGACATCAGAGGCTGGAGCCCAGGAACATTCCTCTGGACCGTACCCTTTCCAGTGCACCAAGTATTTAATCTGTCCTCTGAAGACTCGTGAGTCAATGATGCTGCGTATTTCATATTCCTCATGATTGTCAACCAGAACAGGACGTGGCACTGAGGTGGTGTAACATACAAACGGTTTCAAGAGGGAAACATGGAATACATTTGAGATGCGCATGCTAGCAGGAAGGTCAAGTGCGTAAGCTACAGGGTTAACCCTTCGAAGTATACGAAATGGCCCAATGTATCGGGGTGCTAGATTTTGTGAGGGAACACGGAGCCGTAGGTTGCAAGAAGACAGCCAGACCCTCTCTCCGACCTGATAGGTAGGTGCAGGAAGGCGTCTGCGGTCGGCCTGGAGTTTGTAGTTCTGCATTGCAAAGAGTTCTGAACCTGCACCCAAGTGGAACAGAGTTCCCTGATATGTTCCTCCAATGCCGGTATCCCTTGTGGCATGAACGTATCAGGCAACATGGACGGTTGAAACCCATAGTTCGCCAAGAACGGGGATAGCCGAGGACAGGCATTAATTGCACTATTGTGGCCGAACTCCGCCCAGGGTAGTAGATCAGACCAGTTGTTCTGGTGGTCAGAAATGTAGCAACGCAGAAACTGTTCCAAGGATTGGTTAGCTCGTTCTGCAGCACCATTGGATTGCCGGTGGTAGGCTGAGGAGAAGGAAAGCTGAATTCCCATCTGTGTGCAAAAAGCTCTCCAAACTCTGGACACAAACTGGCTACCCCTATCTGAGATTATTACTTTGAGTAACCTATGCAAACGAAAGACCTCCCGAGCAAACATTTTTGCTAGTTCTTGAGAAGTTGGTAGTTTTTTCAAGGGAATGCAATGCGACATCTTAGAAGATCGGCCAACAACCATGAGAACGACTGTATTGCCACTGGAGACCGGAAGATCTACGATAAAGTCCATGGACAAGTGAGTGCAGGGTCGTTCTCCATTAGGTATGGTTTGCAGGAGACCCACTGGAGGGTGTCAGGGTTTTTTATTTTGAGCGCATACAGGACAGCCAGCTACAAAAGCGGTGACATCCGAATGGAGACTAGGCCACCAAAGTTGCCGAGAGACGGACCAGATTAACTGTTTTTTGCCTGGATGTCCAGCTGCTTTGGGGTTGTGATATGTACTTAATAATTTAGTACGGAGATGAATGGGTACAAAACATCGGCCATTGGGTTTCTCTGGAGGAGCATTAATTTGTGCAGCCAGAATCTCCTCGCCTAGGGGTGAGGTTAGTACGGATGGTGGCCAGTATACGGTCCGGAGGAATCACAGGAGTAGGGGTTATCTCCTCTCTAGATGGAGGGGAAAACTGTTGAGACAAGGCATCAGCCCGAATGTTTTTAATACTGGGCAAGTAAGAAACCACATAATTGAATCTTGATAGGAAGAGAGCCCATCTAGCTTGCCGGGGGGAAAGCCGCTTAGCTTCGGAAAGATATGTAAGATTCTTGTGGTCTGTGAGGATGAGAATTGGCACTGAAGTACCCTCAAGAAGGTGCCTCCATTCTTTGAGAGCTAAAATTATAGCTAGAAATTCTCTATCACCAATCTGGTAATTGCACTCTGCCGGGTTCAACTTCTTTGAGAAATACCCACACGGATAAAAACAGAGTGGAAGAGTCTGCGCTTAATAACAGAGAAGAAAGCAGCAACCCTAAAAAGGAAATCCCTCAAGACCCTTGGTAAGATAGGAAGAAAAAAGAGGAGTTAAGGGCTGCGCTATTGTACAGAGAACAGTACCATAAAATAGAAACCAATTGGTTGAAGTGTATAAATGCAAAACATGTATTGTATGTAAGACCACTGACTCTACACTGCCATCTAAAATAAATGCTATTCTGCTATTTTATTTTATTTATTTTATATATGCTTCCAAATATCATAATTATGTATGTCACCTTTTACCAGTATCCAATTATCTTACTATCTATGTTTATTTTTATGTATATCTATGTCCATTTTTATTTATATATTTCATATTATTTGCCTGCAATAGTACTCTTTGATTAACCTATCTGTAATATTATCTTACTACTTTGTAGTCCCATTTATAAGGTTCTTTTCTGTAGTTATTTGGTCCCTTTCCCCTTTCTTATTCTGTATCTGCTCTTAGTGGGAGTGGCTGACTATCGGTATTTGGAAGTCAGCTCGCTCGCCACCTTCCCCATGCACACAGCGACCGGCATGACTACATCTCCCACATGCCGGTCATGTAGTACTGGAGGTTGCATTACGCGTCCGAGCGACCCGCCCACCATTCGCTCGCGCATGCGTACCGCAATTCCCTAGCTCCGATCACGTGACTTTGTAATTACTATTCAATTTTGCTATTAAAGCTTCGTTTTGCACAGACAAACATATCTTACGGTTAATATAAGCCATATCTATGTAACTATATAGTTTTAAATCTGTTTTGAGTTTGTTTTAAAAAAATGTTTTAATACTTGTTTGTAATTGGTGTAACAGATTTTGGCGCCATTTTTAACCACTGTGTACTCTTATAAATACTGTTTTATGCCAGGTATATTGTTCTATTACCATATTTGATAAAGCCTTATAGGTGAAACGCGTTAATAGTTTTAAATTGTGTATTTTATATTTTTGGTTACCTTTTTTATAGGACCAATCTTTTACTTATTTTATTGTATTTCACACACACTTTTACTATTATTATTCCTGGCATTTTTTATTTTTATTTTTATTCTTATTGTATCCCGTTCCAAGAAATCCATAGGTGGGGATAATTCCACCAGTGCTGTGGCAATAGAGCAGTTTTTTCTGCTCTACTCTTGTGAGTATATTTTATTTATTTTATTGTTCTTACTGAGAGCACTATTTGCTGTTTCTTATACCTTGTGGAATACGACGGAACCCAAGCCAGTACATCCTTTAGTGGGGATTATACCACTAAGTGCCCTTCACCCCAGAGCTGGCCCTAGCTCCATCAAATGTGAGTGTACAATCCTCCTTTTTACTTATTTTTACTCTTGGAGCTACAATATTTCACCATTGGCAGTTTTTTGTGTTTTCTTTTATCTTCATATATACGGATTATTTACAACCCGGACGGATCAACTCCTGAGGATTGTACACATACCCTATCCATATATCGGTGAGACTGTTTTTATTGATTTTATTCAACATTTTCTTATCATTTGATCTTTACTGAACATCTGGATGGACTCTGTTTTATTCATTATTTTTATATAATTGCAATAGAGACTATTATACCCAGGTTTTATCACTTGCTGATTATACACTTCAACCAATTGGTTTCTATTTTATGATACTGTTCTCTGTACAATAGTGCAGCCATTAACTCCTCTTTTTTCATACCCGCACGGATGCCTGGAGCTCTCTGGGTTAGGACGTTGAGACAGGAGGGTGCCTACTCCTGTCTCAGACGCATCGACTTCAAGAATGAATGGTAAGGCAGGGTTAGGGTGTGCCAGTAATGGCTTCCTGTGACCAATGCTGTGGATCAGCATCTCTCCTGGTCATATCCGTGAGAGGTTTAACCAAGGAAGAAAAGTTTTGTATGAACTTCCGATAATTGGCGAAGCCAAGAAAACGCTGTATAGAGCGAAGACCCGTAGGTCGAGGCCATTGTAGTACAGCAGAAAGTTTCTCTGGATCCATAGAGAATCCATCATCTGAGATAACATAGCCCAAGAATGTGACCTGTTTGCAGTTAAACTCACATTTCTCCAATTTACAGAACAGATTATTTTCTCTGAGTCTCTGTAGAACATGAGAAACGTCTGCGTGATGGTTCTCGAGAGATGTGGAATGAATAAGAATATCGTCAAGATAAACCACCACATATTGCTGCAGCATATCTCACAGAACATAATTTATAAATTCCTGGAAAACCGCTGGAGCATTGCAAAGACCAAATGGCATAACTAGGTATTCATAATGCCTGCTCCTGGTGTTAAATGCGGTTTTCCATTCGTGGTCCTCTTTTATCCGGACAAGATTATATGCCCCTCTCAGATCAAGTTTAGTGAAGGCCATTGCTCCCTTGAGGCAGTCGAATAACTCTGTGATCAACGGAATGGGGTAGGCATTCTTAATAGTAATGCGATTAAGACTCCTATAGTCAATACAGGGTCTCAACTCACCACTCTTCTTTTTCACAAAGAAAAAGCCGGCCCCGGCATCAAAAGATGACTTCCGAATGAATTCCCTTGACAACGCATCGGTAACATACTCCTCCATGGCTCGATTCTCTGCTACCGACAGCGGGTAAATCTGGCCACGGGGAGGAATGGCACCAGGTTGGAGTTCGATACCACAGTCATATGGACGGTGTGGCGGCAGAACGCTGGCTTGACCCTTGTTAAATGCATCTTGGAATTCAAGGTACTCAGTGGCTAAGGAAGAGGCAGAATATGTGCCCAAAACTTTGACCGGTTTCCGGAGACAAGAAAATGTGCATTGCTGGGACCAAGATAATATCTCAGATTTGCGCCAATCAATTGTTGGGTTATGCTTCTGTAGCCAAGGGTATCCCAAAACAACCTGGTAATATGGAGAGGAAATTACCTGGAATTGGATAGTCTCATGATGTAGAGCCCCTACAACCAGAGATATGGACACGGTCTCCTGGGTCACGTGGGTTGGCTGTATTGGTCTACCATCGATGGCTTCGAAAGCTAGTGGAGAGTTGCGAGGGTGTAAGGGTATAGAGTGCTCCTATGCAAATGCACAGTCTATAAACGATCCTGCGGCCCCAGAATCAAGCAATGCCCGGGTTTTAATGGATGAACCAGGCCAGGAGAGGATAATAGGCACCAAGGGTTTGTCCTCATATATCTCTGGGTCTGCAGAAAGACCACCCAAGATCTGCCCCTGACAGTATCTTGGGTGCGGGCCCTTTACCGGATGAATCGGGCAAAACTTTAACATGTGACCCTGGCGTTCGCAGTATAGGCACAGGCCCTCCCTCCTCCTAAAGGCTCTCTCCTTGACAGAGAGGTGTGAGAAGCCTAACAGCCTCGGCTCCACACCGACAGAGGGCTCAGGACCAGGAGGCATGGGAGGTGAGGGAGGCCTCCGCAGGCGCTCCCTGGATGAGGATATCTCTCGAGTCTGATATCAATGAGGGTGACAAAGGATATCAGTTCCTCAAGATCTTTAGGTAATTCTCTGGCTCCAATCTCATTTTTAATAACATCAGAGAGCCCCTGTGCAAAGGCAGCCACGAGAGTCTCGTTGTTCCAGCCATCCTCTGCTGCCATGGCACGGAATTCACTGGCATACTCGACAATAGTTCTCATGCCCTGAGCATTAGACATGAGTGGTTTGGCAGTAGGGGTGGAGTGAATATCAAAACGAATATCAAAACCCTTTTAAAGGACGCAACAAATTCAGGGTAATTGTAAAGAATGGGCCTCTCTGCCTCCCAGAGAGGTTTTGCCCAAGCTAGGGCTTTTTCAGACAGCAAAGAGATCATGAACTGGACTTTGTCTCTGTCTGTAGGAAATGTCTGAGGAAGCATTTCAAGGTATCCTTTAACCTGATTTACAAATTCTTTGCACTGAGCTGGGTTGCCCCCAAAATACTGAGGGAGTGGGACAGACCCAGTCATTCCTCTAGCCGCAACAGGTTTGAAGGCTGCAACCGGTGCTAGGACAGGAAGTGAGGCAGAGGCGGCAGCAATCACAGGCTGGCTGGGTGCTGGATCCAGATGAGCATACTGGTCCAAATGGTGGTTCTGCTGGTCCCACCGGGTAAATAAGTTAGGTATTGCCTGTACCATCTGTATTCATGGCCCTTGCGTAATGTTAGGGACCAGGAACCAGACAGAGACAGAGCTAGATACAAAAACACCTTTATTAATAAATAACAAATAAAGAAATAACCAAAAATAAAGTCCAGGAGGCAAGCAGGGCTCAGTCACCAGAGCGGGTAGTCAGACGAGCTAGGTTCAGGAGAACGGAGATCAGCAAAGTCAGGAACCAGGAACAAACAGGAAACACAGGAACAAGGAGACTTCTGGGGAACAGGAAACCACGCAAGGGCAAGCAAAGAGGTACTGGGATTTGCTGCTTAGATAGGCTGCACTGATTAGCAGCAGGGTTGATTACTATTCTCAGGTGAGTAACCGTGGCAACATAGTGAAGGAGCTGATCTTTAATCTCAGCTGAAAGCCCAGACACTGAAAAAGGAAGGGTTGCTGTTAAAAACAGCAAAGAAACCCTGACAATAACATCATCCCGGTATATGCGTCATTACAGAGTACGGAAGGGATCTGTGCAGGAAGAGCACAGAGATCCCAGCAGCAACCACTGACTACCAGGGACTGAGGATCCACTCCAGCCCTCCTAGAGCACGGTAGGGAGGCTGGGTGGACCTCTTGAATATTAAATGTGTGTATGTATGTGATGTTTGTGTGTGTATATCTAATTATGTGTGTATATGTGATTGTATGTCTGTGATTGTATGTGTGTGTGTCTGTGATTATGTTTGTGTATGGCTGTGTTTATGTGTGTGATTGTGTGTGTATCTCTGGATTAAGTGTGTGTGTATATATACACACACACAACCACAGATATACACACACGGACATACACCTATTGTGTTATTGTGTGTGTATATAAATGTGTATGTGTTTTGAAGATAGCTGCCATATTTGATGTCCTTAAATATTGCAATCCCACATAAGGATAACAAATAAGGGAATTATCTACTAAACAACTGAAATTTAGAAAAGGGCTTTTTTTGTGAGATTTCCATATTTACAGACCCCAAATTAGGGTGCTGTTTAGCAGATAGCAAAATCTGCAATCTCTTGTTTGATGATTTTTCAAACCCTCCCCTTCCAACCCCGCACAGACTTTCTGTTACTGGCCAATCATAGACTTTCCAATGCAGCACAATGAGAAGTCTTTGCAAGGCAGGTGCTCTGGGCAATTGCCTGACTCTTGAGTTTAGCTCACCGCAAATAAACAACCAGGAAGTAACAGGACTGGCCAGGGGGCATGACAAGGGTTATTTAGAAAAGTGCCAATTTCTATTGAAAACATTTTGTAAAATTAAAAAAGAGGAAACGCTCTTCACACACTCTTTAGGCGTCTGGAGTGTCCATTTAGCTAAATGCTGAGAAAAATATATAAAACATCTAAGGTATGAAATTTAACTGGTGGTGTTATCTATTTTGAAATTTATTCTCTCTATTTTTACTGTTTTTAACTGGAGGCTGGAGATTATGGGATACTTGAGTGCACTACATTTTTAATGCGATGAACTGAACTCCAGATCCTATCATGTTATGCTGAACACTA